ATTAAGCTCCAACAAAGCGAACACTTCATTATATATTTCCTGCACTCGGCAAGCAGTGCGACAGAGAGGCAGAGATTTCCGGGGAGGAAAAGGGGAGGGAAAGGGAAAGGGAAAGGGAAGGGGGAGTGGACTTTCCCTGGCGGGGAGAAGAAAACGTAACCTTAATGTAATGTGAATTACGCTAAATTTATTAGGCAACAATGAGTGAGCAGGAACGGAAACTAAGGCAAACCGAATAACGGGAAGGGGGTGAAGAGGAAACCCACACACACATACACCCTACACACACATACACCCTGCACACACAAACAAACGCATATGGCTGAGGCTGGGCCTCTAATCGTTATCGTTAACTCCAACTTCAGGACCTCTTCACCCTGGATTTTCTAATTTCGTCGCCTGCTTCGACTGTATTTTCTCTCCTAGTTTCCTAGTTTCGGTTTCCCTTTGGCTCTCGCTTCGTTTTTGCGTGCTGGTCGCGTTTTGTATAGGAAACTCGATAATTTCCACCAATTTCCTTTCACTGCACATGTATGTGTACGCGGGGTGCGTGTATGTGTGTATGTGTGTATGTGTGTTGGGCCTGTTAGCTGGCAAAGTATGCGTGTCCATGCGAAGCTCATAAACTGTGTGTCGGCAATGAGTATGTTAATTTGGTTAAAGGTGAGAACGCAGGTGAGAAATAATTTCGGGGCGTGGCATCGGCTAAATGCCAATGCCAACATCTCTTTTGTGTGCGTGATCGGCGATGGAATAATAAAAAAAAATTAAAGTGGGGGACAGATAAATTTTCGGGGGAAATGGGGTTGCTAACCCCCAATCGAAATTACTTACTCAAGTACTTGGAAACAAAAGTTTGCCGCAAAAAGGGGGAAAATTGCCCCAACCAAATTGCACTTTTGCAGCAAACTTTTTAACCCGTTTATTTAGCTATTTGTAAAGTTTGCTTACTTATACGTCTATTTGTCAGGAACATAAAATCGCAAAACAAGTTATTTGCATTAAAAATAAGAGATTCCTAAAGTAAGAAAGACTTTTGTTTAACAGCAAATATCCAAAAACAAATGAGTACATTTTTTCGTCCCTTAAAATTGTTAACATTGATTTGCTCCTTGACTAATTTTTTCAAGTGGCCACTTGAAAGGATTGTGTGGATTTAGAAATTTGATTATGCTTGTATAAGCACATAAATTCTCCATTTTTCACGAATTTAATTGAATCCCACAAGAGGCGAACAATTTGTTTGTTTTCGCTATTGTTGAAATGCCATCAGCGTTTTAGTTTCATAGGTTATTCTATTCATAACATTCCGCCTTTGGAATTCCGTGTTAATTGAAATTCTCCCCCATTTCATTCCGCAGTGGTTTTTTATTTCACTCCGCAAATTCGGAAAATGCGTTTATTTTATGCTCGCTGTTCTCTCAATTGTAAGTTTCCCGAAAAGCGTATTTTCCTGCTCTCGAAAAGTTGCTACATTTTCAATTCAAACGACTTCCTTCAAAATCATTTATTTAATCTGCTGTTCGGTTTTTATTCTTTCTTAGGGGTTTTCCGCTTCCCGCTTCGCTTTTCAACTTAATTAAGAAATCCAATTAACATCATTGACATTAGATGTCCTGGAATATGCGCAATTTGTTTTGTTTTTATACGTATATAGATGTATGTATTGTTTTTTTTTCGTTTTTTTTTCGTTGCTGTTTTCATGAGCACATGGCAGCCGAAAAACAGACAAACACACTCACGCATCTGCCGAAAAATAGATTTTCCTTTTTCTTTTTGCATATATGTATGTGTGCGTGTGAGAGTGTGTGTGTGGGGTGGGGTGGGGTAAAGAACCTCGCTGGCCACCACCCGAAATCCACACCCTTTGCTGACAAGTAGGCGTTGATGTTGATGTTGACGTTGGTCTCGTGTGTGTACCTCCTTCCCTCCCTTCCTCTTTGGCACGTTGCGTGTGTCCCTAAGTTGTGCGTGTGTGCGGCCGTTTTCCAGGGGGGGTGCCCCAAAAAGTGGGCGGCAATGGGTGAAAGTGAGCGGAAGTGGGAGAAAGTGGGTGGCCAGCACGCAACAAACAAATGATAACAAACAATTGCGGCAACGACATTCGGATACTCGGTGTCTCCTTTCCCCCTCCTTTCTCCTCCTCTCCTCTCTCCTCTCTTCTCCCTTCTCCTTTGGAGTTCTCCATTTGTCTTTCCCTGATTTTGGTTGGGAATGTCGGGCAAATGCTGATTGTAAAGGCTGGGCTGGGAATCGTGTTTTGAGTCGTGTTTACTGCCATGAATTAGGAAATGTCCTTGAAGGGGCTTAAGGAATTTCGAGTGTCTCTCAGTTGTGGCTTACAATTCAGATACAGTTTCACCCAGAGTCTGGTTTTAAAATATTAAACAAGGCGACACGAGCTTGGCATTACCAGATAACTTGATTTAGGTCATTGTCAATTATATTTATCGCATTTACCAAAACTACCCTGAAAAGTATGCTACATTTTCTCGTTTGTTGCTCTTTGAGGTGAAGATTATTTGGGAATCGAAAACCTAAGGGCAATAAACCCATACAAATATCTTTTGTCATTTGATTAATAGCTCTCTATTTGTACAAATTCAACCAAGTGCCAACCAAACCAATCGAAGGAAAACAAAACGCTTGCACTCCGATTTGTCGTTTCACTCAATTATGATAACACTAACCGGGGTCAAAGGTTAGTCCAACCACGTCCACGAATCTGTCAAATTATCCACATGATCGTCCCCTGTGTTTCGCTTTAGCCGAGCTCCTTCGCCCGCCCCTCGTCCTTCGTCCTTCGTCCTGGGTGCCCAGGAAATCGGAGTCAAGTCGGACAACTTGGGCTCATCTCCTTTCAGCTGGCTTAAACAGTGACACAAGTAACACAGTAACACAGTAACAGCTGCACGAGGAGCGGGAGCCACATTCAAGCAAATCTACTTAGCATAAACCAATTCACACACACTCCTAGGGAAACACACGCACACACACACACACACAAAGAGAGAGAAAGGGAAGGGAAAGCAGGCAGCTTTCATTACAGGGGAGTGGCTGACTGGCTGGCTGGCTGGCTTGCTTTCACCGAGCAACTGACAAACTGCGAAAGCCAAAAACTGATTATGGCTTTACCCATTCAAAGCGACAGCATTCTGCACTTGCAAATAGACAAATGTATGGGGAAGTGCTCGTTCGAGTGCCACCAGAGAAAGTAGAGAAAGCAGGGAAAGCAGAGCAGCAGAGACGCACACAAGGAGAAAGGCTTTCACTTTGTTATCGCTTTTTATAAAAGGTTTTCCGATCCTTGTGGAACAAATGTGATACAAAAATGTATTTAGCAAGACACTATTAAGGCTGAGTGAAATTTAACGCTTCAAAATATTTCAAGTGTCTTGAAATGAAAATGCAATACCATTCGAATACTCAATTTTTTCTTCAATGTATTTTAAGTGCACGGCTTAAATGAGAAATAATCGAGATAGAGAGATAGAAAGTTATGGCTGCAACAAAGTTCGATTCTAAGTGAAAATTGAGACATTTGCAGGGAAAGAAATTAAAAATTATGCTATGTACTTAGCACTCAGCTTGCTTGCTTTTCCCGCTTCATCTCCTTTCCCGACATTTTCCACGCCAACATTTTCCGGACTTTTTCTGTGCCACTTCGCCCAAGATCCCGTAAGTGAAGTACAAGTTAAGCTCGAGCCTTGTCGCCCAGTCACGTAGTCTTTTTTCCCATGGAGAAGGTGTCTTTGTGGGCGGTTCGGGGCACTGAGCTCTTCTTTATAAACAAATATTTGGATTTAGCAACTGAGTGAGCAGTGGGAAGGCACAAGAAGCTTAAACTCAAGCTCGGAAAAAATAAGAGGACCTCGAGGAACGAGCAACGAATTTTATTTTCAAGCTGAATTTTAGGCAGTCCTATGGGTCTCTCGACCACCCACTCTTCCTCTTCTCTCTGCGAGTGTCTCTGTGTGTGTCTGTGTGTGTGTGTGTGTGTGTGTCTAGTTTACGACTTTTACTACTTTCTTTCCACTTTCTCGGTCTCTTTCTGGCCGCCAGTGCTTATGCAAAACCGCACCCATATTGGAGGACAAGTAGGAAAGCAGATTACTTATCTTTTAGTTTTCATTTAAATATGAAGACCAAATTGTACACACACGCCGCTTTTTCCTTTTCACTTTTCTCGGCCATTAGAGGGTTATATATATGTATATATATATATATATATATACGAATGTACATCTGTTAAGGGAAACATGAAAAGGAGCTGCTTGGGTTTTTGTTTTTCACGCAAAACTCTATCTTTTAGCCAGATAAAGATAGAGCAAAAAGCAAGTGGATTTTCTTTTTATTTCCCGCCCGCCCTTTCAATTCCGGTTTTCATCTGCACGTTTATTTTCCCTTCTCTTTTTTTCGTCTATTTTTGGTTAGACAAAAATAATTGGATTTACACCGAATCAAGAATCGAGACGGAGAAAAAGATAGAGATGTGGTATGTGTGATGATGTCGTCATTCCGGGGGATAAAGAACGCTTGACAGCAGGATGATGTCGGTTGTAAAGGGAGCACAAATTGGAGATATTCATAAGTGAAATTTGTTATTCAAATGGAAGGATAACGGAGGGCTTTTGAGTTTCAGTTTGAGTTCTTTTTTTTTTTGTTTTAAATGAAAACCATAAAGCGAAACTATGGAGGTTTTAAAAAGAAAGCCATAAAAAAAGTGGCAGAGGTTTCCTAAAGCGAAAGCCATAAAGGGAATATGCTCTCTCTTAAAAAATAATAAAGTTTTACCATATAAGAAGTTCCGAGCGTACAAAAACCAAAGCAAATGGTTGATGGTAAAGTATGTTAGCTCAGTTGGTTAAACATAGATTTTCACCCAATGCTTGTTGCTTAAGCACCCGAGCACCGAAACCAAATACACACAAAAACACAACTCGTTTGCTTATTGTAAATCAATTCTAATTCTAATGGCCTTTGGAATGAATAAATTCTAGCTCCGCAAACCGGCGTCGACACTCTCAATTCCTGGCTCGATGAAAACACCTTCCATTGCGAACCGGGAACAGATCTCATCTGGATGCAACGAAGAAGCGGCCGAGGCACTAGTGGGTATCCACTCAGACTACCCTAGGTATGAAATGTATGTATAGCCGATCCGCCAGTAGCGTATGTATCCCTAGAAGCGTGCATTCATTACACCTCCTCCGACTCGCCCCTCCCCCTCCCCTCCCCCTTCGTCGACGAACCATTCCATCTAGAGTCCAGTATTCGAGCTGATTTCCCGAGTTCCCACACTTAGCAAAATCGTCGTTATGTTAGTGTTTATTTTTATAATGAAGAGAAATTAGTTGACCTACCGCAAGTAGATTTTTAAGCCATTAGGTGATTGAATAGATAGATAATTGGTAGATGTTTCGAAAGTCAGAAAGATAACCCCAAGAAGTCAATCTTAAAAAAACATTATTAAATATTAAACGAACCTTAATGGAAAATATCTTTTCATGACCAATTTCCACTTTAAGATTATTTTTTTCCCAGTGCACTAGTTTGAGAAGGTGCACTGCCAGCTTAGCTCGACATTCGGGGACTGAGGGAATAGGAAACGATAACCGTAACTGTGGGCAAATCATTGACTGATGGATGGACTTCGTACTGCCCGGGGACAGTAATTAGCTGTCAATGTCAGGAGAAGTGACCCCGGAATGATGCTGATGCTGATTCTGATGATGATGATGATGATGATGGTGACTTTGCGAGGGCAAAAATTGAAATGGGCCAACTGGCTGGCCGGGGTAATATTCATTGGGGAGCGCTTGAGAGCCCGCGCGATTCAATTTGAGCACTCTAAAGTGAATTCCGCTCACGAATGGATGCTTCGATTCTGGAATACTCAGATACACTCGGATACTCGGATTCTGGGACGGTCGTTCGGGGTCCACATAAATCTCTATGAATGTCGTGGATGGCAAGATATTTTCCTGCAATCACGTTGGCAATTTGGCACAGTTCAGCAGTTTATAGAGGGGGCCAGCCAGAAGCCAGAAGCCAGAAGACGGGGAATTGGTGGATATATGGCTATGGCAATAGCTATAGCTTTTGCTATAACTACGACTACTGCCACGATTGTGACTGCGGCTATATGGGCAACGAAAACGAAAAACGAGGACAGCCAGCTGTGTGTCAATGTGAATGTGAATGTGAATGTGACTCTGTGTCTGTGTGTGTGTTTTCATTTGTCAGCAAAATTTTTATTGGCCATCTTTGGCTCATCCGAAGAGTCGCCCTGCCTTTCCCCCGCTCGTCCATCGGTGTCTGTGTATCCATAAGATACAAATTGATATGACACATTTAGGAAAGCCAGAGCAAAGCGAAAACACACAAATCTGTCATTCAGGCCGTAAGATTTATTAAGGTGCCGACTAGAGTTGAACGGAGCTGAGTTGGATTCGCTCGAGTTGAGTTGAGTCGAGTCGAATGGCGTTGCGTTGAGCTGGGTTGACTTAACCCCCGGTAACCCCCTGAGAAATCTGCGTGGTATCTCTCGACAGCCCTCCCGACACTTGAGCATTAGTCAGCGATCTGTGGAAAGCACTTAGGGGCTGAAAACCTGTGAAAATTGCCGGGGATAATGGAACAGGAGTTCCCAGAAAATCCCCTTGCCACGGTTCCCTTTATTTAATTGTAATTTAAGAGCAACACTTTTAAATAGGTATCTAAACTAATTAAAAAGTAGTTGCCCCGCTTTATCTCAGCGATAGAACAATGCACATTATTCTTGCTCATTAGTAGACTATAAATAAATGTGCATATCACAAGCAGCTTTAGATTTCAAACCTTTAAAAGAGGCATTCATGACAGGGAATTAAAAGGGCTTACCAATACAAACGGAGGGCAAAAAACAAGCCACTAATGAAAGGGTTGTCGAATGAAAAATGCAAATGAAAGGTCATGGAATCGAGGAAGACAAAAAGCGTGAAATCAAAACAAAAGCAGAGGATTAAACGATTCAATTTAATTATGAGGTTCGAACATAGACACAAATCACTTTAGAGAATAGTTATTTTTGTATTATTTATCTGTTGAAGCACTTGACGCTGCATTCATTAATAACTACATATATATAAATAGGTCAGGTTAGCTTAAATAATATTTCGTACAACACGAAGAGCCATCGCGACAGGGAATAGTTGATACTATAATTATACACCCCGACATAGCCGTTAATTAAAGTAGTTAACAATCGATTTTTCGGTAGTGGAAACATATAGTACAACAATTCGGTTAGCTCCTTTGGGGAAGAGAACGGGGAAAGGAACGGGGAGTGGAGTGCAGGCTTCGAATGGCCCGGCGACAATCTGATTGAACTCGAATAACCCCGCAGGTATATGGAAGAACGTGCCCTTACTGGCGGCAATACGTCCAGGAAGCCATCGACTAACTCGGCCAAACACAAACCCAATGTGGGCTATCGCCTGGGAAAGAGGAAAGCCCTCTTCGAGAAGCGCAAACGCATCAGCGATTACGCCCTGGTCATGGGCATGTTCGGGATCATCGTGATGGTAATCGAAAACGAGCTGAGCAGTGCCGGTGTCTACACAAAGGTGAGATTCTATTAAATCAAATAAAAAATATAATTTACCAAACTATTTTCCTAGAAACATTTATTTAAAATATCCAATATCATATCAAAGACTAATACTTGGAATTTCTTCTTCTCTGCAGGCATCGTTCTACTCGACAGCGTTAAAAACCTTAATATCTGTTTCGACTGTGATTCTTTTAGGACTTATAGTAGCTTACCATGCTTTGGAAGTGCAGGTGAGAGTGAGTGCAAATTGTATTCTTCTCTTCCAGATGTTATTGATGTTCTTGCTGATGGTCGTCATCGTTAACTGTTTTAACGTTGCCGTCGTCACTCTCGTTCACTGTCACCATAATACTACCGATAGTCCCCCCAGATTGCGCCAGAAACCCACCCACCCAACAAGCCAACCCAACCCAACCCAAACCAAAAAAAAGAAAAAAAATAAACCCTATATGGTCATGCTTAACCCTCGAAATCCCAACTTCCTCCCCTTCTTTTTTGGGCCACCTGTCATCATCGCCATCTCGGTTTGTTTGTATGTTTGTTTGTTAGTTAGTTAGTTTGTTTGTTTGCTGTTGGAAAAACGTTTTCTTGTATCCGGTTATGATTTCGATTAACTTTCAATTGTTTTCCGTTTTTTTTTACTTTCAACGTGTTTCTCGCATTTTGAGAGCGTCAACCAGATTATGTAAGAGCGATAGAGACTGAGAATGCATGACAGTTAGTGTGAGTGAGAGAAAGTGACACCTCGTTTCCGATTCCGATTCCGTTTCCCATTCGTTCATTTCACCACCCACCACCCACCACCCAACCTCCCACTTTCCCCACTTTTACCTCGCTCCATTTTCTCATTTCTCTGGACATCTTTCATTTGGACCCGCTACAAAAAAAACGAGAGTTACATTCCACCTTGAAGAATCTCGAAAAAAAAACTGAAGAAAGCTGAAACACTGTACATAAAGCTAACCATTCTCATTCACCCAACTCACCTGGACCACATACACTATATTCACCACAATTTGTTCTAATTTTCAATCCCCACTTTTTAATTATGGTAAAAACCCAGTTAGAAACAGAGTTTATTTTTATTTAAAAAAAAATCCATTTTTTTTAATAAAAACTATTGAAAGTGAAATTTTCCTAATTCCCGAGCTTACCTTTTTTTTGACATTTTCATTTTCTTTCGTTTCATTTCATCAAATGCAGATCTTCCAAACATGATTTAGACCGGAACTTATTGACAATACTATATCCATTCCATACCAAAATCGTTATCGTACTCGTTTACCCTTGAATATGCGCTTCAATTACCAGTTGCATGTACAGCACTATAATTTGTTTCATTTGCTCAGCATATTTTGATATATATGATCCATATATATATTTATATATAATCTATACAATTTCCACTTCTACTTCCTCTTCTTCAATTCTTATTGGTTTTGTATTACTTTTCTCGTTTCGTTTACCTTACAAATAAAACAAACCACAAAAACCAATAAATTTAGTTAAGACATGTGTTGAAAATTATCGTTGGCATGAGTTAAATTGTTATATATCGATATCACTAGAGAACCTCAGCCGATTTAAAAAACACATTCGGTTGGGGATCGTTTCGTTTGAAGCTTAGAAAATGTAGAGAGCATGGGAGCATCTATTTGCCTAGTACGTAATTCTGTTGATTCTATCTTTAAACATGAACAAAACATAATAATATACAACCACATGATTGATAACAATATTATCTATTAGCAATATACTCGAATAAAGCCGAAGAGAAGTGGAAGATACTCGAAAACCCTAAACTTTGCAATACTGATGTTAGTAGGGACAAAGTCCTGTGTTCAGTGATCGAATTTGGATTGGTAATTGATGTCTCCATGTCGATAACTCGGCATGGCTATCGATTGTCAGCAAATCGCCAACCTCGTTATCGCAAACGCAATCGAAAAAGCAATAGCATAAACAATCAAAAAGAAAACCCAAACCCCAAAACTTTCACAACTGCATTCAACCATTACCATGATTCCATGATTCAATCAAGCCAGGTCATTGATCAGTCGTCTGTCAGTCAATCAATCAACAAACCAGTCGTCAATCAATCAGTCAATCAATCAATCCAATCAAACCAGTCAGTCAGCTGATATACTTAATATATATATTATACAAAGCCCCCAAAAATCTCATATTTCGTATTCTCTTCACACAACTTGTTCTCTCTCTATTATACAATATATAATAACTCCGACTAAATGTTTAACCCCCCAAATTAATGTTGATGTTTAAAAGTAAAATTTTAATATGTAATTACCTTCCATTATGCTTTGCAGAATTCAGTAAGTAATACTTATTATAATATCTACCATACATACTTCAATATTTGTGAGTAAATCCAAATCAAAACCATGCATAGTGTTATGTACCATATACGGAAGCAACCAATACCAATACCAAAACCAACTCAAATCAAAACTTAAACAGAAAAACAGAAAACAGAAACCAAAAACCAAACCAACAAAACATGCCTAGAGTAGATGAACCATAGATCGTACTTAGACAGGGTATACGTATATATACCATATGTATACCCGAAAATGCATTATGAAGCCAAAAAGCAGCAACGAAGCAAACTTCAAGTCGATGTTTAGTTGAACCCGCGTATCTGTACCTATATCGTGTCTAGTGTATATATACTTTCCTTATTTTTTTTGTTTTTCTTTTTTTTTTTGGAAACTATAACCGCAAAATCCTCAAGCTGAAGATACAGATACAGATAATACTGTCACACGCTGTCCAAGATCAAAGGCAAACGCTTAGCTGTTAAATAGCGAAAATTTTGGCTTAGCTTTGCACCCAGAAACCACCAAATCGCAATCTCACCTTGTCTTGCAGTACAGTACAGCGTACAGTGAACACTGGCCATGTGCGAACCGATGGTGAAAATGTTTATTTATAAGGTGGTTGTTTAAAGCAAATGAAGAGCAATGCTCTCGAAACTAATGGTAGATTCCTTAATACTTTACGTCCCAACTCAAATAAATATAAATCGATAACAGTCACAAAAAGCAATTACAAATTTTAATAGATTTTCTTTTAAAAAGCTTTTAAAATAACTATTTTGAGAATGGTTTTTCTTTGGTCTTGGAACTTTTCAAAAATATCTCAAATATTTTTAAATCCCTTTTGGCTTTTATCACCTGAAATTTCTATGAGAAAAGATGTTGAACTGAGAAAACCTGATATAAAAAACATTTTCCAATCGGCGCTTGCACACATAAAATATTCTATAGATGTACATGTGCACTACATACATACAAGCATACCGCATACATATGAGCATTCCCATTGCTAAGTCGATACTGAATATATATATATATTTTAGTCGATATATGTACTATCAAGCATCAAACCCATCTATCACCAAAATTAAAAGCAAAACAACGGAGTTTGGCCAAACCAAAAGAAGAAGAACACAGGACTTTGTGAACGTGAGATAGGAGAGACCTTGCACCCTTGCAGTAAATCGATAAAAAACTAATCAGTCGGCTTAACTTGCGAATGGCTCATATGCGATTTAATACGAAAGACACACAAATCAGAAGTCCATGCCTCTCCCAACCAAAAACATTTTGAATGCACATCATTTAGATTGTTGTGCCAACTGGCTTTGCATTTGGGATGGGGAAACCTATCGATGTTACCTGAAAATTACCGATAATTTCGATATTTCTCCATCTCTACTCTGCCTAGATGTTGTGATATTTTTATTCATACGTTTACGTTACCAATGGCCTATTTGCACTGCAAACTTTAGATTAATGCAGTTGGGGGCCCGATTGAATCCAGTGTGAGGTGATTTTGAACTTTAGAAAAATTGATTTGATAACAAGAATCGAGGCAAAAGTAAAGAAGAAGGATAAAGGTAAAACAGCAATCAAGAAAATAAGAAAGAAATCGAGTGAAATGTGCTAATAACACGAGAACACGCACGCTGCTTTCTAGTAAGTACTTGCACTCACACATGCACCGGAGCACACACACAAACGCACAACAAACACACATACACGAATACCGAGAATAAAAACACAAGACACGGAATGAATTTCAGAGGAGATTCCAAATTGCTTACGATACTTGAACTTGACTCAGGAATTGCTTCCACCACTGAAACAAAAACCATTAACACACACAGCCATACACTCACACACAAACACATACACACACATGCACACATACACACAAACACGCATACACCCCATTGACGTTGTACTTGTCAAATAATTCATGCTCGTATATTTGAGTGTAATTCATTTTTGTTTAGTCGCAAAAAACCAAAACCCAATCAATAAATCTCCAATTATAATTAATAAATGATATACTTGTTCTCCTTTTTTCTTTCCTTCTTGTCTCTCTCACCTTTTGGCATACATCGAACAACCAACGAACTTAATAATTGTTAACCCACATATAAATATATATAATGCGACAATAATCCCAATCGAAATCGAAAATCGCAGTTATTCATGATAGATAACTGCGCCGACGATTGGAGGATCGCAATGACATGGCAACGAATTAGTCAAATAGGGTTAGAACTTTTTATATGCGCTATACATCCAATTCCTGGCGAATACTATTTCCAGTGGACGACGAAATTGGCCAATAAGAATAAAACAATTGGCACCGAAATGGTGCCATATGACGTAGCTTTATCATTACCTATGTTCCTTCGATTATATTTAATCTGCCGCGTAATGCTGCTGCATTCAAAGCTATTCACAGACGCATCATCACGGAGCATTGGCGCTCTCAATAGGATAAATTTTAACACAAGGTGAGTTGGCCCATTTAATTTCGATTTAAGTGCTTTAAAAACATTAACTATGTATATAATTTAAAGAAACAATTTATCACAATATATCACAGTTACTGTGAATTAAAGACTCTATAATTCACCAGTAGTTACTCAAATTGTATTTCTAAATTTAAAAAAAAAGTTGAATTTATTTTATATTGTAAAGATTTATCGTTACAAGTTTACTTTTAAAACAATCCCCTCCCATTCTAATTTGCCTAATAATATGTGTCTGCCCATTTCAGATTCGTTTTAAAAACTCTAATGACAATATGCCCGGGAACGGTTCTATTGGTATTCATGGTCTCGCTGTGGATCATTGCATCCTGGACGCTGCGTCAGTGCGAAAGGTAATGGCTATATTTATTATCCATTTTATGATATGATATTTCTACTTGTTGAGATTTTCATTTTTCTTTATTATTTATTTTGATTGTATTTATGCTTTCGTTTTTTTTTTTGTGTTTTCTCAATGGTTGATTGGTTTCCTTAGTTTTTCGGTTTTTCATTTCCCTTATTCCTTACTCCGTTTTGCGTTATCCGTGTTTTTCTTACGTTTTACTCTGAACGCCATTTCCGTTTACCGTTCTGATTCAATGTGTTTGACGCTAATACTTTGACATAACTATTCAACGTATGTATTTAATATCAATGTATGTATGTACATAAATGTATGTGCCAAGCATTACGTAATGTCTTCTCCAAGAAACTCAAAAAAAAACTCCAAGCTCGAAAATTACAAACGTCTTCGTCACAAGTTGTTTTTGCTTTTTTTTTACTCTTCTGCATAAAACATATCTTAAAGTTGTTGAATACATGTTAAAGTCCGGAAGAAAGGGGCAAGAGGGAATTTGAGCACAGACACAGCTTAAAACATACACAACAAAAAAAAATAAAGCGAATGCATTGTTGCTTATTCATACGTGCTAAAGAATTTACATGTAGCTTGCATTGCATTTTATCCACATACACAAATGAAAACGAAATCTCCGACGAAATACCGAAAATGTAACGAGTTCGAATGCGAATCTGTAACAATCGAAATGCAATTGTCACTGTCACGTAGCAAACGATTGGATAATGGATAATGCTTGCATGTGTTTCAATTTATTTACATTTGGCATTCGGATTCGCTTGTTTTTTACCACCGCCCAATTCTCCCCCCCCCAAAAGAACCCTGATTGCTGATTGCTTTTTTACATTTATCTTGCCTGTACTTTTCCCCTTTTTCTGACAACTGACAACTTATCGATATATTCGATGAAAGTTGACTGAAGTCCTGCACTTATCGAGGAGAAGGGGGCAACAACAACAAAGCAAAAGACACACACATTCATTCTGTTAAAACACAAAAGCAGACCACGTAGAATTGGAGAATGCAGTGAGAAGAATTCAATGAGAAGATCCAGAGAAACAAGATGATGCATGCACTATTACGAATTTGATATCGTTATCGAAACAATCATTAAGAGCCCATCTTTTTTCTCTGTATGGTTGAAAACACGTATATACATGAATATTTTTAACTACGCCCGTATTTATCCCATTTGAATTTTTGTATACTTTTATTAAACTTTGAATCTTTGAATCTTTGTGCTTAAACGTTGAATGCTAGCTCTGTCTCTCTTTCTTCTTCGCTATCTTTAACTCTAACTTCTTCTTATTCTGCTCCTCTTCAGCAATTTCTTGTTGCTTATCTTGGATAACCTTTATGTAACGACACCCTTTGTAAGCTAATTGAATTGGCGCACCATATGTTCTTCTCGCTCTTCCCCTCGAATTTCCCATGGCTTTTGGGATCCCGTTTCTTACCCTTTTCAATTTCCTCTTCTCTCTCACTCTCGCATTGATCTATATCAGTTTCTTACATTTTTCATTTAATTTTATTGTGGATTTACGACGTTCCTTAATTCTTTCGTTCTTGTTGTTGTTGCCGTTTAGTTTTGGGAAACGAAAAAAAAACAAAAAAACAAGTAAATTACATTTTTACATCGCATATTTATTTAATCAATTAAGCTTCAACTTGTGGATTGAACTGCGCCTGCATTGCTGTAGATCATATTTAAACATCCATATATAAGTAACCAACCAAATACTTGAAACAAATGTGTAAAACCAAAACAAAAAAAAGGAACGAACACCCGCCCGTTTAGGGACCCTAGCTTTTTTGAGCCAACCGATAAAGCCAACAGCTGTGTTTCTGTCTAGTGACGAAAGCATACACACCATTCTATAAGTCGTTGTTGTTGCTGCTGTTGTTGTTGTCGTCCTTGTTGTTGCGTTGTTCCTGTAGACAATATATCCTCACATGTCTGTGCAGTTGAATCCATCCATCTGGTTATATATTATATATAACAGTATTTGCATTGCCTGCACAGGCATGTCGAAAAAAAATCGGACAATCACAGCCAAATGACAGAAAAGAAAAAGAGAGACAGAAGCACTTGTACATTCCTCCTTCTCCTTCTTCTTCTTCTTCTTCTTGTTCTTCTCACTCTTCTTCTACCTCTATATATGCCATATAAATATTCTCGACTTTCATTTTACTTTCGCGTCAGATGAGTGACACGTATTGATTTGCGTGTCACATCCTCCGCTCGATTTGTTTCTGATTTTACTTTCCCACGTTTCATTATTTTGTATTATTTTTGGCACATGGCGATAGACTGGACTGCTTAACAAACAAATGAAAAAGCTCATTGAGAAATAAACGAAAAATAAATACAACGAGTATATCCTTCAATTTCGAAAACAAAACGAAAAAAAAACAAATACCCAAAACACGCAGCAAACTTATGTATTTATCGTAACGATGTTGAATTTTGTTTCGAAATCCATACTATAACCGTATCTTAATGTTTTTTCTGTAGCAATTGGTAGAATTGGTTCTGAATTTCCTAAAATTTTATTTTCCGATCTGTCTGTTTTTTAGCCGGGTCCTCCTGTGGTCCCAACTTAATATTTTTTTTTTGTTTTTAACCATTTATCTATCTGTGTCCTGTACGTGTGTCTGTATGTGTATGTGCGTATTGTTGGAGATTCCTGGAAATTGTATCTTAACCAACCATGCATGCTCTGCTCAGCTCGGATCAAAGCTCTGTGAGTTAGATACTAGGACAGGGGGGTTGCAGAAGAAATATGGGGCAAACCAGGAGGAAACACGAGATTTGTGCGGAATTATAAGGGTGTTTATAAACACTGCACGCACATGCTTACACAGAGCAAACAAATTCAAATATACATTTTTTGTTAAAAAAAATTGTTTAATATTCCAAACACTGTTAAAAATAAAAACGCAAATAAGCGCTGAAATTTAGCTAAGGTAACATTCAAATTTTGTCCGAAATGCTCGGTAATGCCGCACTTGTTCATATGTAAAAAAAAAAAAAACAGTGTGACCATGCACTTCCTGCTGAATGTGTCATTGCTTTCATTGTATACATTTGTTTTGCATTTTGAGGAGCCACACAATAAGAAGTATCTTTCAAGTAGTGTGTACGAATTGGTTTTCACAGTGTACGGACTCTTGGCATTCATTATGATTTTTCCTTTGCAAATTGGTTAAACCTCCCATTCAGACACAAACCACTCACCCACGCAGCCTTCGAAAAACGGCACCCAACGGAGCTGTGCCTGCAGGCATGCCTCAGCATTTAGTGGCCACATCTCTAGGGCTTCAGGTGGTAAGCCTCTTCAGGTAGAACAGCGGGGTGTGGGCATTACATACAGGGCTTAACTCTCGGATGGGCCATTTCAGTCGTTTTGCATGTAGTCACAAGTGTGCGCCGTTTTGTGTGAGTGCGAGTATGTGCATTTGTGCCGTTCAGATCAAGAGTTATCAGTTCAACAACCCACCACCGAACCCAAATCCCCATCCTAAGCCCCCTTTCCCAATCAGACTTTCATGCCCCTGGCAGGAAGAAGAAGAAGAAGAAAAAAAAAAAGGAGCAGGAAGAGGATAAATGGAGAATTATATTGAAGAAAGCAGTTTTTGAACCGATGCCGAAGCAAGTGTTGTATTCGAATTGCCAAACTACTACTATAATTATTCTATATTATTCATTGTCATTGTATATTCCAATATATTCCCCCGCCGTCCCCTTTAAAATCAAATCTATCTACCTATCTCTCTATCTGTATCTTTCAATCTATCTAACTATCTCGCTCTTATATTCTATTGAGGAATTTTAATTCGTTGCCCAAAAGAAAAAAACAACCCAAAATAATAAAGCAAATTATTTTCCTGTTTATTTTCTTGTTTTCCCTCTTATTGAATTTTTCTTTATTTTTGCCTTAAGTATTTGTTTCATTTATTTTCTATGTTTTCTTTGTACTTATGAGTATTCTTTAAAAAACATAAAAATTATCTAAAAATATGACAAAAAATTTACCAAATTGTACTCTTAATTTTCTCAAAAACAAAACCGAAATAAAAAATAAATAGAAAAAATTTAAACAAAAATGTTCACATAATTTCACATCTGTTTATTTGTTTACTCCACTTCTCACCCTACTTCTGTATCCACAAATTGCAAAAAAAAAAAAAAAATACCAACAAAAATGTATGAAATCGAATATATATGAAATACCAAACAACAAACGAAAAACCAACCGCAACTTGAATACGCATACGAAATACGCACTACGCATCTGAAATACCGAATTCTATATATATATTTTTGTATACTGACAACCGCAAAAACCCAAAACCGCTAACGAAAAAATCCAAAAAAAACGGCAAACAAAAATCAATAAAAAAAACCGTATCATAAATGATTAACCAAAACGAAATGACTGAAATTCGTACCCCATTCCCACAAATGCCAAAACGCATGCCGATAAATTCCAAAACAAATAACCAAAACCGATACGATCCGATCCGATTCGATTCGATCCGCAAAAAAGGTTCCACGATGAGGAGCACGCGAATTTGCTTAACTCCATGTGGCTAACGGCCATCACATTTCTGTGTGTCGGCTACGGCGATATTGTGCCAAACACGTACTGTGGACGCGGTATCACCCTCACCTGCGGCATGGTGGTAAGTATTTCCTCAAAAACCTAAAAAAAATCAAAAGCCTCAAACCTAAAAGAATACAAAAAAAAAAAGATTCCCAGAAACTCCATTTATGATACCGTAAATACCTTAAAAAATACCAAAAACAAACTAAATCAAAATAAATACAAAAAATAGAACAGTACAGAACAGAACAGTTGCAAAGATAAAACAGAACAGCAAGAAAATATATATACAAACAATAAAAAAAAATCCTATAATAAGTTAAACAATAAACTACAACAACTACAACAACAACAAGTACATACATCATCATCAACAAATACAGCAACAACAACAGCAAACTTTCATGCATAAGAATATGAGAAATCAAAACCCATCGCAAGCAGAAGAGAAGTAGTAGAAGATAAAGAGGAGGAGGTGGAGGTGGAGGAGAAAGGAAATTGGGGCCCAGAAAAGTAGCCGCCACTCAGGCGCCCCCAGAAAAATAAAAAAAAACAAAACAAAAACCCCCGTTCCGCAGAAATATAGCATTTTATAGTAATTGTACCTGCCAAATCAACCAATACACACGTACGCACACACTTTTGTCTACACCAAAAAAAAAAACCAACCACAGAAAACGTCTAGGGAATTTAGCTATCGTTTTTTTTCCTTCGAAAATCAAATATTTTTGGTGCCATATCATTTTTATTTGTACCCAAAATGTGAGAGTTAACGAGCTCCTAATTGCATTTATTCTTCTTCTAAAAATTTATCCAAGCTGAGAATTTTTTTGTAACAACACAAAAATACAATTTTTTAAAATTTCATTTTGATCTCATAATGTGGAATTCAGACATACTGGCCAATTTCTTCCTGTGTACGTGTGCAGGCGTATTCCCTGACCTGCCTTCGAGTTCCTCTCTGTGCCGCCCTTTCCGAGTTAAAAATTCAAATTCAAAGATCCAAAATCCGTTTTGATAGAGGCTCCACCCACACAAGCAAAATATAAAAAAAAACAAACATCCATTTTTCGTAGCATACATTTCAGCGCACATATTTTAGATGCCGTTTTGTCTGCCCAAATCGTCGCCAGCAAAACCCAAATAAACTGAAAATGCGGAAAGCAAATGTCGAGCAATAGTTCCCAAATCTGTATCCATCTCGCTCTATCTGGTTTTTGTTTCAGCCAGGCCGCGATTAGTACACACAAACACATGACATTCCCACCCACCCACAAACACACACACTCTGGCAATCTGTTGTAAATCATCACCAAAAAAAAAAATTTATATATATATGTTACCACCCACTTTGTGTGTGTGCTGTATTATAAACATAAGCATACATTATATATATATTTAAATATATGTACATAATCACCAAGCGCGCGTGTGTGTGTTTTTGCAGCTTTAAAGAGCGCAGATAACAATGTAACTTTTCTTCTTTTTATCCTTTATTTTCTGCCAACAAAACTAAAACAAAAAACGTGACAGACACGCACACACACAGATATACTTTAAAGAGGAAGCAGAGGAAAAAAACGAGAAAAGTTTTTGCTTCCTGGCAAAAACAAAAACAAAATCAAAACAAATCTTTTCTGACAGCTCCGGCAAATTCTATTAATGTGCACATTTAACTGTTTGGGTGTGAGCGTACTTCTCTGTGTGTGTGTGTGTGTAAGTGTGGGTGTGTGAGCCTTGGAAATTAAATTGAATTGTTTTCTGCACCCTTAAAGATCCTTTTTTCTCAAAAAAAAAAATCAACCCACTAGATTTCGTAAGAACCATAAGAAAATATATTTTGAACTCTCACTATTGTACAGCAAGCTTATATCGGGCAAAGAAAACCCTCATGGTTGTACATATATACATATATATTAACGGTTACGTCCATAACTGTCAGCATCTCAATATATCCGAAAAACCGAAAATCCCAAAAAAAAAAAAAAAAAAAAAAAAAACCCATTAAGCTCTTTTTGGACCACTGTATTGTGTGCGCTCACCCGTTTACTCGTCCATTTGTTGTTAATCTCGTTTCCTATATGCAGAATGCTCATTCTAACTTTTACCTTTCGTTTCCACAGTTGGTTTTTATACTTTAAGTTGCGTTTGCGTTGCTACTTTTGTTAACATTTTCATTTGATTTTCAGTTGATCTAATTTTACCTGTGCCAGTTTAGTTTTTAATGGATTCTTATAGTTTATTTTTGAACATTAAGCCAACAATACGATATTTTTCTCTATCTCTCTTTCCCTTTCATTTAAAAAATAAACGCGTGTATTCAATTTGACCCCTGAAACTGAAACTTCAACTGATTAAATCCATAAAAAAAACCATAATCGATTCAAAAAAATATATATATATTTCGAACCAAACAAATATATATAAAAAAAAACGAAAAACAAAAACGCGTACTGGTTTATGGAACAGATTTCATGATGAAGAACATGCGAATCTTTTGAATGCAATGTGGCTGATAGCGATAACATTTTTGAGTGTTGGTTTCGGTGATATTGTTCCGAATACGTACTGTGGACGTGGTATCGCTGTCAGTACAGGAATAATGGTGAGTTTTTAACAACAAAATATTACCAACAATTGCACACAACATAACAATCAAGAAATATATACTCAAAGAAAAAAAAAACAAAACGTCGAAAAAAATATTTAAAAAATCAAGATCTTTTTAATAGAAAAACAGATATCACATGTAAATAATTACATAAACTGCATACGAATGTTTACCCGCCCACCACAACCGCCCCTCGCCGCCACTTTTAACAAAAACACAAAGAATCTAAACTCACCTGAATCGTAATTTTTCTAGTAACTGTACATACATTAAATTAAAACCTAGTTGAATCACCAAAACGAGCCTAAGAACTTTGATTTGAGGAGACTACTGCATGATATTAGGCAAAACTGAGATCAGATTGAGCAGTTAATTAATTTGAGCCATCAAGTTTTCGCCAGTGAAGATTAAAAAACCAACGAAATCGCTGATAAAGCATAGCATACTGTCTAGGCAATAGCGCTTATAACCAACCGAATAAAATTTCTATATTTTTCACCTTTAACTTTTCCACTTTTTAACCAGCTCTGCTTCTGTGTGGCTTACTTTCATTCTCTCTCTCTCCCTACTTACATATATACCTATATATATATATAACTCTATTTCGATTTTTCCCCTTCTAACGGTCGTCTGACCATCTGCTTATTTCTTAGAGTTTTTGAGATATTTATCATGTCGTAGTGGGCAATAAATAAAATAAAATAAAGCTATGATAGATATTTCCACTCCTAACATGACTATGAATTGTGATTTATGGTTTCAACTTTGTTCCCTAGCTAATTGTTTTGTACTTATGTGTGTATGTAACTATCTGCCAGACACCTCTAACTGTTGTATTCCATATAGACATGTGCCGAACCCGAATCCAATAACTCTTATGATATTACTTTAATCCAAATCTAAACCCACATGCAACACTGTATCTCGAAATTCTAACCAAAAACGTTGCTGCATTCGAATCTATCCATCTATATCGTAATTTCAATTAGAAGAAACTCATCCAATCATTCAAACATCTCTACTCATTCAACCTACTCACCCATTAATCGATCAGCCATCAAGAAGCAAACGAATAACAAAGTGAAAAGAAAAGAAAAGGAAAAGAACCGAAAAGAACAAACCTAAACATAACATATATACATGTTGTAACATCCATAAAAGTACTATATCTATTGTGAGAGCAACAAAAAAAGTTCTGGACTACATAACTTGATAAACAAAAGCAACTTTCATATTGAATGCATAAACCAAAAGTGAAAATAACCAACTGACATTACAGATGGCCGGGCACCCAACCCCGAAAACCACCCAAAAAAAAAAAAAAAAAAATGCCAACATCAAAGAAAACAAGTGCAATTTTGTCACAATTAGGAAAATTGCCTTCGACCACTTGCCAATTTTAGCTAATTTAAGGACATTCTTTCCTTATTTGGGATATGGCACATTTTTCGCTAGATATTCAGCGCAATTATCTTTGATATGCTTGATTAAGTTTATTGTAAATCATAAAACTTGAACTTTAAGTGTTGGAATGTAATGTAAAGAAATGATTTGAATTCAATCTTGAAGTGATTAAATGCTTTAAGGCAATTTTCTGTAATTGTGGCATTTAACCTAGATGCACTTACGGAGTTGGGTGTCCCCAAATCAGGCCGAAACTCACCTCAAATTCGCGCGCTGTTCACAATTCAGGGATCAATCTCACCACTCTCCACATCGTCGTTACAGGGCGCCGGCTGTACGGCTCTACTTGTGGCCGTAGTTTCCCGGAAACTGGAGCTGACCCGTGCCGAGAAGCATGTGCACAACTTCATGATGGACACGCAGTTGACCAAACGGGTATTGATCGTGTTCCAAGTCTCTCAACTCTCTCAGATCCGATTCGATGCGACCGACTGACCAAACCGGAGCTACCATAAATACCAAATACCCCCCAAAAAAAAAAAAAAAAAAAAAAAACCAAAAAAAATTAAAAAACCAAGCATAACCATTTATCCATCTACCATGTATCCATATTGCATTCTAATTACCTTTGTATACGTTTCTTCTTTGGACCAAAATTTAGCTGAAAAATGCTGCGGCGAATGTTCTGCGTGAAACTTGGCTCATTTACAAACATACAAGACTAGTAAAACGGGTTAATCCCGGCCGTGTAAGAACCCACCAAAGAAAGTTCCTTCTAGCTATATATGCGTGAGTATTTTTAGAGATCTATCAACAACCAATCAACCAACAAAACCAACCAACCAAAAAACAAAAACCAAACCAACCAACAAGAATAAATACCAATATAAAAAAAGATAATAACTAAAATCAAGAAAGAGTGCCTAAGAACCAACTAAGAACATGGAATGGTATCGGATCGAATAGTAGTTTTTCAGGTCCTTGGTTTGGGGAAATCATCGATCGATCGTCTCTGTTCGTTTATGTTCTGTCTCTTTTCTGTCTCTAAATATTTTTCGTGACTAACTCTCATTTGTCCACATACATATATCTGTGTATCATATGTTTGTCAGACTAGCTAAAAAAAGAAATATCAACTCCCCCGGTTCGTATTAAACCTGAATTGAACCTGTCCTGTTGCCCGTACCCCAAATCATAATTAGACTCATAATTGTGCCCATCAATAATCGTAGGCAAGCTTTGGGAAAGTCATCCATCAGAATCTGTATATACATCCGTAAAAGAAAGTATAACTTAAACAAACAAGAAAAAAGAAATGCGAAGAACGAAAAACAAACTAATCAAACTAACAAAAACGATAATTACCAAGTACTAAACTGAAATGTTGAAACCACAAATGATTGAACTCGTTTTACTAGCCTGTAAATAGGTTGTAAAGCCCTGTTTTTACGTTATGCAATAACCGAGACTAGCCACATAACCTAGCATGCTGCGTTAAATATTCTAGAATCTCGTATCTAAAACTATCGCAATATCATCTGTGCTTTTGCCTAGTGCCCATCGTCACTTCATCAGCATCCCATCTGTTCACTAACTGCCAACAAAAAGAAACCCAATCAAAAGGCTTCACAGCATTCCCATCGCATTCGTAACACCCGATTCTTGTACTCTGTCCATAAATCTCAAACCTCGTCCCGCCGAATCCTGTGAATCGTCGTAGTTTCATCCATCCTAATCGTTTTTTTCGCCCGGGGAAGTGGCTCACGGATCAGCCGAATGATATTATGATACTTTTACGATACGATTTTCTGCAATTTTAACGCCCGAAAAGAAATATGGACTTTTTTCCTACTCCTATCTAATCTTTCTATCAACTACGGCACAACAAATGTTTTTCACAAAAAAAATAATAATCAAATAAATATATATACATTATGCAGTGCGATTTGAAACCTTAAAAGGGAAAACCAATCTACAAATTTAATATGAAATTTTTCCTCAAAAAATCTTTAAATATGGAATGTCTTATAAATAAATAAATATTGAATGCCAGTAAATAAACGAAAAATTTCCCACTAAAGTTTCAAAACAGACTGCTACCAATTTGTCCGATGTTAAAATAGGTCTATTTGAGTGACTATAAGGAAAGTGAGTTTTCGGCTAGACGAAACGATTAAATCTTTTCCAAATAAAAAAAAAACGTGTGAGTGTGTTTTAATTGTGAAAAAGACCCAGTAATATTTCGCGCTTAGTGTTATATGTTGGCGATCTAAATACTTTATCTAAATAATGTTCTCTCCAATATTGATGACTCTTCCCGATGCGATTCAGGTTGCGAAAAGTTAAAATGGATCAACGCAAACTAATGGATAATGCAAACACAATAACTGACATGGCAAAGGTAGATAAAGCAATTTAAATAAGAAAACAGTCGAACTTTTATTCTTATAAATTGAAGAATTATTTTGGTGATTTTGTTAATAAGTAAATAAATTAAAAGTTTTATTTATTTGAAGTTCGACTGTAGAGTATATAGTATTGAATTGAATTGTGCGCGAGCAGCGATGTGCAATGCATGTTTGTGATTGTGTGAATACCATTCGCAGACACAAAACACGGTCTACGAGATAATATCGGACATGTCTAGCCGTCAGGATGCCATCGAGGAGCGCCTAACCAACCTAGAGGACAAAATGCAGAGCATACAAGTATGACAAACAATCGGTAGTGGCGTTTTGCATCGTGATTTACTTGAACCCCTTTACCCCATCACCCACCCCGCTCATCGCATCGGTGGGTGAAATTTCATTTCACTGTTTTGCAGGAGCACATGGAAAGCCTTCCAGACCTATTGTCTCGATGTCTGACCCAGCACCAGGAGCGGATCGAGCAGCGGCGGAACTTTTTACATCCAGACACAGCTGCAGTTGCCCCCATTCAAGCGCCAACGCCCCAATCGATGTTCAATGCAGCGCCCATGCTGTTCCCCCATTCTAGGTGAGTCGCCGCTCGGCCTCTCTTTCTCGCCCCACTCTCTCTCTGTCTCTCTGTCTCTGTCTCTCTTTTTCTCTGACTGTCTCTGTCTATCTATCTATGTGTACGAGCCATGTCCATTATCCTCATCCGCACTGACATACTCGTATGTTCGTTCGTTCTATATCATTAAAGCGAGACTTGTGCCTGTCATTTCAATTTGTTTTTGTTCGTTTGTCTGCGAGTCGTTTGTCTCCTTGCCGGGAAAATCGGGGTCCCCACATCCCAACAAACATCCTGTAACCCATCCATCCTGTCATCTTGTGTAGTCACTTGTATATATATATATTCCGTAGTTGACCACTGCACACACTTGAGTCCTCCAAATTACATCCCAAAACTCTGTGGCTGCCAAAAAAAAAAAAAAAAAAAAATAATGAAAAATAAAAAAAAAACCTACTCCGTCTTCTATGCAAGATTCAAGTGATTTAAGACTGATTAAGGAAATTATAGTTTTGTTTTTTGAACATTATTATGGGAAACTAGGGGCTTTTCTTGATTTCCTAGCTTTGGACGAAAATTAACTTTAGGTTTTACATTTAACTACATTTTTTTCTTTACTGACTCTTCATGGCTTTCCATTACTCTGACATTCATGACTTGCATCGAATCAAACCATCGCCATTAAAACGAAAAAGAAACAAAAATTTTTCTTTATTTTTGAAAGCGTACTTGATAACGACAATTAACATACTGCTTTTTGCATAGAAGTGTTCCCTCATCCAATAACGCCGCTGCTACTTACCATTGGCCAACAAGCCCTATTTTGCCACCTATATCTAGTAGAACACCACATTTAGTGCCTGATACTCACATGCCATCAAATGGATCTGCAGTTAATAGCTACGCATCTTCCAACAAATATGGCAGCTGAATGTCAGAAAGAGAGCGCTCCAACTCCGTGATTAACATCGAGATGCTAACAATAAGGCCGGATCGATGCTGGCCAACATCATCATCCGCACACCAAAGATCAACATCAACAACATCAACGTCTACGTCTACGTCAAAATCTAAACCCGAATTCGCAATGGCCGAGACAGCGCTGAGGCAACGCGTCCCATCGCCGTCGTTATCGCAATCGCAATCGCAATCGAAATCATCGTCGATATCGCAGGAGCACGTTTTGCGGGATATCCGGGATATCCGGGAGATGGTCATGCCGATACCAGTGATACCCGAAGATGCCGAATCGCTGGCGAACACCAATACGAATAGCTATAGTTCGCCCGATCAGCAGAATGTGCCTGCAATTGCAGTACCGCCGTCGAGTTCAACGCCCGCATTCACAACGACCGGAAGTGGGTGTTCGATAGCCGGAACTAGCTGTGGCATTGTCAAATCGATAACGATGAACGAACCGATTGCGACGGAGACCGGCAAGGCGGTTGCCTCGAATAAGTTTACTAGGAAAAGAGAACGTGTATGCAATAATAGTAGTTAATAGTGCTAGATATAGTGATAGAAATAATAGAGGTAATAGTAATATTAGTAATTCTACAAGTCGAATTTCGAACTCGGCCTTTTGTAAATAAGCCTCTTCGAAATGAGAAAAAAGTCAAATGTTAGCATATACATATATAATATACATAGTACACAAACACTATATATCTGTATCTGTATGGATATATAGCACTCTCCCGAAACCCAAAACAAAAAAAAAACAAACAAACAAAAACTAACGGAAAACCAAACAGAATATATGTATACATATATTTACAATTGTGTAATTTTTTTTTCTAAGTTTTAGGCTAAACGTATTTGTAATACTTCACCTTGGGCCAAGGCAGCCTGTACTTGCATACTAAAATACATAACTTTAAATAGCTGAGAGTGTGCGTGTGTGTGTGCGAATGCGTGAATGCGAGTGTACAGGGCGCGAGTGCTTAGAAAGTAAGGTCAAAGGACATAAATTGTAGGATACCAGCATGTGGAATCGAAGTATATAAAAACGAATAACGCTCAGAAAACAGAAATAGCAATAGAAAGCCTGGAAAATCTGCCACCAAAAGTCGCTACCCGTACTGCAACCTCATAAATCATCTGCACAGTCCTTTTAAAGCTGAAATCCCAAAGAACCCATTAAACCCAAGAGAACAGTGAACCCCTTTCAACAACGATCCCCTCGCAGCACTTCCGATTTCGGTGCATCCGAGCAACTGCAATACAACCACGAACATGGCAAATTCTAGTGTCCGTCTGTCCAAAACTTGTGTGTAAATTTGTATACATATGGCGAAAGAGATATGTATATGTGTATGTGTCCGTATCCGAAGAATGTGTGTCCGACCTGACTGTGTGTGCGAGGCAAGTGAAAGCATACGAACAACCAACCAACCAACCAACCCATGAGAACCCCGAACAATTATATACAAAACGAGCATAACAAAAAACTAAAACTAAACCCAAACCAAGAACACAAAGAACAAAGAAAAACTATCTAACTGTAAAATGTATGTTACGAGATTTAGAAAACAGCGAAATCAGAAAACCAAATATTAAAAGATAGAAATAACGAAACCAAGAAAAAAAGAAAAAAAACCAAACAAAAACTAAAACTAAAACTAAAGCTGTGGGAATACCCAAAACCGAGGATAAAGATAAACAAACACACAAAAATGAGAGTTCTTACTTAAAACATCTACCAGCTCTGGCTTTAACTAAACTAACGAAACAAGTTTAAAGGAAACAAGTTTGTTGTCTTCTTTTTCTACACATATATTAAAATATATATAGTATATATACATACATATATATTTTCGTTGTTGTTGTTGTTTTTCGCCTATTCTTTTCTACCAAGAATTATGAACTCAATTAAGAACCTGAATAGCTTTCGAAGGGTGTTGAAGATGATGATATATAGTAGGGTAGACTCAAGAAAACAAAACACGAAGCAAGAACTAAAGTTTAGCATAGTCTACATACTAAAGAGAACAATTTTAATTGCAATTTTGTAACATATTAAAGGTAATTCGCATTAATATACAAACTAGCTGGTAAAAGTGTAACAACGGAACAAACTACAAGCTCCAGATAGAAGATAATAGAACAACCGAAACGAACAGAGGCGAATTGAATTGAATTGAATTGAAGTTGAAATTGAAATTGAAACGAGTAGAGCAGAATAGTGTAGACATAATAGCAGAAGTGGCCGAGCTACGTATGGATTTTCTAAAGATTCTAAAAGGAACATTATATATACTATATATACTTACTATAAAGTATTAACTGAGAGCATCGAAGTTATTTAAAAAGAAAACCAAAGTAAGGTTACAAAAAATTAGGTAATATGCAACCCTCTAACGCTTTGTTAGGATCCCAATGGAAGGCAAATGAGATTTACAACTGAATTCCCCGAATCGTGCCCCCCCCAAAAAAAGATTTCCCCTTCCTACCACCTCCCAAATTCCCCAGTCAGTTAGACAGACTCTGCACATTATACAGAACCAGGGCCAGAAAGGATCAAAATATCTGTAAACTATAGATTATATAGCCATAGGATGCAGTCCACTTAAGCCAACTAAAAGTATCGAAGTTTTGCCATATTGATTTATCACATCTCCAAAACCCCTGGCTTACAATTTTTATTTACGAAAAAATGAAAAATTCCTCAACCAAAAAGTTTCCCAACTGTCTGATAGGTCTTAACTTATATACAACAAAATTCCCAAACAAGCAAAAGAGTCAAAGGAGAAAAAACAACAAACAAACCAACTAAATGAACCCCTAAACAAGTGTGTGTATACCTATTTATAATATTGAATATTTAAATTGAAAAGAACGTTCAAGACTGCTGTCAAAATAGCTTTATCACAATAAATAATGAAAAACTACACAAGACGAGACACACACAAAACAGAACAGATCAAAAAAACAAAAAACTAAACAGATCGATAAACATCGATTACCGGATCGGAACAGACACCTAAAAGAAACACACTACCACACAGATACAGATACAGATACGAGATATGGAATGCGCCCAGCTTTAACATTATGTATTTATGCATATTTGGGTTTCAACTCTACAACAACTTAAAACGAATACGCAAAATAATACTGAACAAGGATCGATAAACAATTAACGATATACGAATCAAATCAAATCGAATTGAAATGAAATGCATTGAATTGAATTGAATTGAATAATTGGTACAAGATCAAATTCCGTTTGAACTGGTTTCCTAAGCCCCACAAAATACCTTTTAACACGAGATAAAAACCAAAAACTTTGATATGAGGGACCGAATTTCCAAAGACAGGTCTTTATTATACAAAATACCGAAAACTTTAAACCAAAATAACGAAGTAAAGCAAACCAACAACTTACAAAGAATTCCTACAAGAACTCAGCCCGAAACAGTAACAATTTATAATACCGAGGATTTTTAGCCGCCTTTGAGCTGGGATACAACAAAAAAAATAAATCTCATGAGGATCGTATTGCACAATGTCCTTGGTTGACTTTCGTAACATCATAGGTCCGTCTCCCACTGTCCAGCTTTTGTGGATATTGTCTACTTCTGTTCGTCTTTTCGTAAACCAGAATCGAAAAATATATATGTATGTATTTTCTTTTCTCCAGCGAATCGTAGAGCTCTAGGGGTACTTCGAGAATCATGCTCCAACCGAAACTCTTCTAGCCAAAGCAGGTCCAATAAATCATATAGCCCAGCCAATGCCAATGCTACAAAAACTGGATTCGAGTTTTCGGAATCGTATCGATCCGGACTAAGACGATGCAGCCATTTTGGTGACTTTACACGCTAGAAACTAGGAAAGGTCCTCCCAAAACCAAAAAAATATCCCCCATTCCCTCTTCCCAGCGCCTAACTAGATCGAGGTATGCAAAATATATAAGGTTACATATACAATATCTAGATATACAACACACATATACTCGTATATACATGTACAGACGGTCTATGAGGTATATACCCCCAAAACCAAACCGAAAAAACCAAATGAGAACCCAAAACCCCACACTAATAAGATCATATTTGACTTTATATGTATTATAGTAATGTATTCAGTAGCTAAATCGAAAGCCGAAGCAAAGACCAATTTATTAACAACAAACTAATAAGGAAAACCCAAAAGGAAAAACAATTATGTTAAACTAAACAATAAAAACTTACGAGAGGACGAAACAATTTTTTATTGAAAAAAAAAAAAAACAAAAAACAAAGTAAAGTAAACTAAAATGCATTGCATGACTTAAACAAAGAGAAGAAAAACTAATAGAAACCCAAAAAACTTAACTAAAGCTAAACGAATGTCAACTAAAACTAATCCTAAACTTACCCTACACTAATGCTAAAATGGAAGTAAAACAAAAAATAAAAACCACTAAAAAGGAAAAAAGATTTAATTTCTAAAAGAAATAAAGTAAGTAAATAAAAGAAAAAGAAAGCAGAAAAAAATCTGTGGCTAATAAAATAGTTTATTTTGAATTTACTGTATTGTATATTTAAATTTAAAATGGGAAACCCCAAACAAAATATATTGTTATATCTTACCGAGGAACCGTGTTTTGCAAAAGCTTTAATATTTAGGGTGCCTACATTTGCTAAATTAGTATTTTACGATTTAAAAACCAAAAAAAAAAACAACAAAAAAAACAATACAAAACAACTATTAAAACCAACACCTACATACACGAAATAGTAAAAAGCTTAATTAAAAACGAACTAAAAAGTTAGGAACCCCAATTTCCAAAACAAATACACTGAACAAAAAACCGATACCGAAACAAATTAAGAACAACTAACAGCTAAAGCAAATATTGTATTTGTATTTGAGATATGAATTTTAAGAATGTTTATTAGACTTACGATTTGTTATCTTGTATACATATATATTATGTATTATGTATGTAGCATTAACTGATCTGATCTGACGACGATTGTAATTGTTTTTTTTTTGCTCATTAAGCATTTACCTCATAAGAATTCCCACTATTTATAGCAAATTTACCATATTACATAAATCAATTGCTGTACTGTTATAATGTACAACCCCATGGAGCCGAAAGAGCAACAAGAAGAACCATTAGGAGAAAGACGTCGACGAGAGTCGAGGGAGAAAGGGAAAACTTATAAAAACTGTAAATTATTAATTAATGAAGAAAAAACCAATGAAAATAATTGAAATTTTAACAATAATAAAGGGCTTTGTATGAAAGAAAAACAAACAAAAACTGAATAAAAATAAAATAAAAATTTAAAAACATAGAATGTCTGCATTTAGTTTGTGAATCGGGAGTATTATGCTATAACGTTTAAACAAATAATTCTTGTCCAATTTTCGCATTGTTGGTGAGTAAAGTTGTTAAATTGGCCAAAGTTCACTAATTCTAAGTCCATAACTTTTATAATTTTAATCAGATTTTGAAGTGGCCGCCAGGGAAGCTATCAAACACAATTTTGATTTTCGGCAATAAAACAAGATCCTTGCTTCGATAACAATAATTTATTTAGTTCTGCTCAATATTATCACATTAAGAAATGAAGTTTGTACATAGAATAACAAAAAAAAGGTATTTATTTATTGATATATGCGATATATTCGGTCGAAGGATTGCTTCGCAATTGTGATGGCTTCATAGAGGCTGACAAAATGGCGTATATAAATAACAAGTGGTTATGGTTAGTCGTAATCTCTGATATCCCCACGATATCCGCACCTAGGCTCCCCGCTCTCTCCTTCTTTCCACCCACTATTTGTTGCTGCCGCAGAAATTGGTCAGTTTTCGCCAGAAGAATCCAAGTTTGGACGTCTCTTTGTGGACGGCTCTTTGCGCGGCCTTCTGATTCTTGAAGATTACCCATTCGCGTCTGGTGTCTGGATTCGCAGGGCCCCAACGGTCGCTGGGTTTCATCGAGGCCTTAAAGGACTGTAAATAAACGGGAGATTTAGAACTACCCTTTATATTTAGTTACTTTATTTAGTCTTACATTCCAAAGAGTGCCTTGTGGATGACGGGAAATGTACCAAATACCCCACAGTGGAAACTGGGCAGCTCCAATGGCGAAAAGCAACCATCCGCAAACTAAAAGTTACAAAAATTATAACAATTTAAAATTTAAAATTTCTTTTTTTCAAATAGTAACTTACCATTGGCGGCTTCGGGGAAATACAATTCGCTGTATTTAATCGGTTCGATGGTGGCCATCGAGTAAATGAATATAATGATCATCATAACTGGCGTAAAGAAGGACCAGCACACTCGCCAGTACAGTGAAACCCGACGATTGCACATGAACTCAATGTCGTCGCAGAAGTTTTGCAGTCCTTTAGGATTGATTTTGAAAATCATTAAAATCATGCTAATATATGTAGATAGTGTGAGAAACACCCACCATAAACCCAAACGATTCCAGCCAGCTCGAAAATGGCCAGAATGAAGACCACATAGGTTCCGCCATAAAAGTCCACCAGAGTGAGGATCCATTGTCCTCCCTGAAAAATGATGAATAATTATAAATATTATATTAAATATAAAATACTTAGTTTCAGTTAGTAAGCCAACTTACCGGCGTCACGTAGACCAATCCCATTAGGAACCCACAGACGGAGGTGGTCAGCGCCACCTTCCAGTACTTGAATCCCTTGAACTGATCGCAGATGATGGTCACAATGGTGCTCTGCAGGGCCACAATCGATCCGATTCCCAGGACGAACAGCATGAAGAAGAACAGGATGGAGAAGAGCTGCGGAACCGCCTGGAACTTGGATATGGCATCCGGATACGAGATGAAGGCCAAGCCCGTGCCACTCCGCACCACATCCTGGATGTTCTCGATCTGCAGATTGTGGGCCAGATTGCCCAGGATGGCGAATATCGTAATGCCGCCCAGCAAGCTGGTCAACGTGTCCAAAGTCGTCACAATCATGGCGTCCCTGTAGATGCCGTGATCGAATCGATTGTACGAGGCGAACATGATGATGGGTCCCGAGCCGACGGCCAGCGAGAAGAAGCACTGCACCACCGCCTCCTTCCAAACGGTGGGATTGAGCAGCTCGCCCCACTGCGGCTCCAGGAAGAAGAGGATGCCGTCCTTGGCTCCCTCGAGGGTCACCGCCCTGATCAGCAGGACGAAGAGCACCACGTACGGGAACAGAGCCAGGAAGTAGGCCGCCTTGCCGGAGCTCTTCACTCCCCGCATGATCACCAAAAAGATGACCACCCAGGCGACGAATAGCGCCAGGGTCAGCTTCCAGTCGGGGTCACCCACACCGTCCGAGATGTCCAGCTTCTCCTTGATCACTACATCTCTGTGGAGAGGGAGTAAACACGGGGCTTAAGTCATTATCACAACAAATTAACACGAAATATTTGTAACTAAATGCATTTAGCACATATACGCAAAACAAAACTAATCAAATAATGACTGCACTAAATAACTATTTATTATTTGGCACTCCACTGACATTTATTTACTTTAAAGACAAGTGAGAAAATGTGGTAATAAAAAAATAAAACAATCACTCTACGAATGTCACAGAAAGAGATAATAATAATTAGTAATTATGAGTGCCTCCCTCAAGTTATTAAATGTGGGGAAATTAATAGTTTAGAACTTACAAAAAGTAGAGTTCGGAGCTGCTTTGCAGTTTGGTGCTGTTGTCGGCCAAAACACTAACGCTGCTGAAATTCCTGGCCGATGCGTTGGCCAACGACATGCCAGAAAAGAGATTTGCCGAGTAGTCAGCGGGTCTGGAGTCCACACAGTTGGTCCACTCGTCGCGGCAGTAGGACCACGGCAGTTCCGATTGGAAGGACACGAACAGGTAGTAGAGGGTTAGGGCCAACAGCGAGGAGTAGTACGAGATGATGCAGATGGTGCCGAAGGCCTGGCCATAGCCCACGCCCACAAAGCCCGGCACCACTGACCAGATCTTCACCGTTCCCTGACTCGTAAACTGTCCCATGATCATTTCCAGATAGTACATTGGTTTGCCTATGAAATACCATATATAGGTTTGAATTAGATTACCATATTTGAAAGGAAACCTGTTATCCTTACCGATTAAAAAGAGCACAATGATGTAGGGAATGAGAAAGGCGCCGCCTCCATTTTCGTAGGCCGTAAACGGGAACCTCCAGACATTTCCCAATCCCACGGACACCGAGATGCAGGACATGAGGAACTCCAGTCCATTGCCCCAATTGGTTCGCTCCACCGTCTGTTTCTCGGCATCTTTCTTCTGTGAAACAAAGAAGAATTGCCAATTTGTTGAGCAAATATGTGCCAAGTGATATCGCAATTCGGGGAATACAATTTTGGATGATTCTCAAAAACAAAAAAAAAAAAAAACACCAGACACATGACTAAATATTTATGCACCCATCACGTCCCGAGTTTCGGACTCTTGGACAAACACGATCGCGGAATTTCAGATCCATTGCCAGATAACCCACTCCAAATGAATGCGCCACCAGACCTCGTCTGATAGTGCATATATATGCCCATTATGGCATATTTATCTTAGGCGCCCAATTATGATTAGATTAGAGCCACTTTTAGTGGACTCTCAAGAAAGGCGCCCCAGCTATCAATCAAGTATTATTGCTCTACACGAGACTGTTTAGTATCCTTTCGAGTCCATCTCTTCTTTCTTTTATATTTTCAAAGGCTTTTGAAATCGATTCGATGTGATTATCAATTTCCATAAACGATTCACTTTGTGTAGATCATAAGCATCTCAGTTTAGATCGATGAGGTCACTGAATCGTTACTTAGAATCATAAAATTAGAATCATTTTCTCATTGAAATCCATAACTATCAATTAAATAAAACAAAAAGTGCCTAATGCGCAACTATTAAAAAACCCCCTTACTATTTGTCTAATATACTTTTCATTTACATTCACACATCAAAGTCAGATTGCATATATTACCTTAAAGTAACTAACTATTCATTTAGTTCTGTTTAGAAAACGATTTGTTTTCCGAAAATTCTCACTTTAATTGCGCCATTAAGTTACACTAACTGACTCACTTCTAATTATAATATTCCAATGTTTAAATGAAAACAAAGTTTATTTAAAAGCGTACTTAAATTAAATTGGGGAATTCTCTAAAACCATCTGTCGCCTGCTAATGAGGCATGCCAAACAATTGCTTAAATTGTTTTCTAGTAGCAAAACAATGCTAAAGTATTATTAAAACATTTATATTCAAGATTTGAAATGGGAAATCGTCCTCAAGGTATTTAATGCACCATCAAGTCTGATGTGATTATTTAATTTCAATATTGCTATTATTATTTGTAATAACATGATTGCCCATGGGCAAAATCTATTTCCAACCCATTCTATTTGCACGGCAGCAACAGTTGGGGAACTTGGCTATTGTTTTTTATTATTTTATCAGAGAGCTGGGAACGCGAGAACTGTTTTGCCGCTTACATATTTGTGCTATTCGGGAAAAAAGCTGTTTAAATAAAACAATAACTCAGCTGGGGGAGGCAGGGCAATTACCGAGGCAAATGAAAACGAAACCGCATCATCAAGACTTACCAACAATGGGGTATCTATGAAATAGCCAAAACTGTTTGCTTATCCACTTTATCTCCGCACAAAAAGGTGTTAAAATCTAGTTAATACATTCAGTGTGTAACTTTTTTGATATCTTACCAAAGATACTTTTAGATAAATTACCGATTGTAGGACGTTGAACCAATGTCTATTTTTGTCTAATGCATAATTGGGGTTTTTTTATATTTCTGCACTCTGGGAAATTCTAACTTGGGAAAAACACTCATTAAGTTATGCTGACCGCTATTTAATGCAGCTTGGTTTCGGTCTGTCAATGTCAGTTTGTGGGGGACTTTAATTCCAGGGGAAAACCAACCATTCAAATCAACCAGTTACATTTAGAAACCTCCATGATCTCTAGATCATCTGCACTTTGCATGCAATCAAGGGAAGATGACTCTTTGGGGGAATTACATTACTATTTATAGTATTTATATACGTATAATTGTAGTTGTAAGGGAGAAAATATTTATGAATAAGTGTTTTGTATACTAACCGAGGAATTATTATTACTTTATCTGTTAATATCTTTATAACTTCCGAAACAAATATCAATTGGTTGTTTGTTGCCACACTTTTTAGCGAATTGCAAGTTCTGGGAAATGTTGTAATACAACAGAGAGAGCGGTGAAGTGAACTTGTCACTCTATAAAGCCCCCTTCTATATAGTATTATTGCCAGTTTATGGCTGCTGCAGTGAAAACTGGTTTCCAGCTCTCTTCGGCCATATAGTACACATTGTATAGTATCGCTGATCTAAAGCGGAGCGCTAGTTACCCAGATAACTAACGTTTTTAGGGCACTATTGAGCTCTAAATAGAACAAAAGACGTCGCACTGGGATACTTATGTGGCGCAAGAGGCCGTAAAGCGTATAAGATATGCATATAGTATCCGCCTGACAAACTCTTTTACCCCTTTTTGGGGTGGACCGTAAATCGCATTTTCGTTTGTCGGTCGATTAGCCCGCAATTAAAGCCTTACTGCCTTAATGATCACAATGATCATAAACTCATTGAGGGGCTGTAAAGCGCACACTGAGCGAAACGAAAGGACAGATATGACTAAGGGCTAATCAAGAGCATAAATGAGTGGGTGGAAAGTCCAGGTGAGGTTCACAAATTTACCCAGGTTCTTAGTTAGCTTTTTAGTGGTGCACTAGGCGTATACTTAATTTACTGACTGTTTCGGGTACTGCCCCTTCTAATCAGATAGTCTAGGCACTTGAGTTTTTCGAGTGCCGCCACTCGAACGCTTCGATTCCATTAGGGATATTATTAGCTCCTTGATTTTTGTTTCTTCACTTACTTCCGGTGATCCGTTGGCGACTTCATTTGAGGTTCCATTCTGCGGCTGAATGCCTTTCAACTCCATCTTCTCTGCCCGGTTTTAGCTTTTGGCTTTCTCGTTTTGTGAATTGTTATTCGTTATTTACTATTTACGTTTTACTGGTTAATTACTGTTTTTAATAAGCACATTGCATTGACCAGCCCTTGGTTATGGTTGACTGCTAACTCCAACTGCAGTTTCGGAGTGGTTCGTTAATGGAATTCTGGCCGTCGACTGTTGGTAGTTGGTAGTTGGTGGTTGGCTGTTCGCTTTTCGGCGGAGGCGCGCTTGTGGTGCCGTGAATGCCGCGGCTGGAACTGAGAACACTGCGACTGCTGGCCGCTTTAAGAACCGCCAAAGTCAAGCAGCAAAACAGCGTTTTGCCAGCGCTCAGCAAGTAATAAGCGTGAAATTATTCACACACATAGGCAAACCCGGCGGCAGTACCTGTACCAGGTGATGGTGCTGGTGCTGGTGACGGTGCCCCTGCACTTGGAAGGTAGTGCCGAGCTGTGCGGCGGAAGCGGGGCAGAAGGTTGGTTAAAACTTTGGTATCGTGCTCTCGTGTGTGTTCGTCGTGCGATCGCCGTAAAGATCGCGCAGCACGGGGGTTCCATTAGGCGGATAAGGAAGTACCCACCGAAAGGCTGAAGAGATCCGCACGGAATGTACCTAGAAACGTGTTGACTGCACTCAAAAAAAACACTTCAAGATTGTAGAAATTATTTCACAATCCGAGCTTGATAAAATACCAAAATCCAAAATGAATAAAACAGTTTGTTTTATGATACAAAACAAACTTACTGTGTTCACTCTATAGTTAAAGTAAATTATTTAAGTTTGAGAGTTTCTGAAAGTAAGTAAGTAGTAAGTCATTAGGCAAATGTTTTCCCTTTCCCAATTGACTTTAAGCATTCCACTTGTGTTACCTGTGAGATAACCTGAACGTTTCCAGTTTTTATATTCGTGTGATGTCGTTAGTTTCGCAAATAGTATGAATATTTTATGCAGGGTGTAAGGAAACCCCGTATCACTGATAAGGCAACAGATATTGAGATACACAAGATATCTTGTGGATACATGGATTTACCACCGGCGATGGACTGGGCCAACATAGTCTGGGCTCACTGTCCGGCGCTACGGAGGAAGGCACTTGAGTAAGATAAAAACCGGCAGGCGAAATAACCCTAAACGGTCAGCAGTAGTAAATAACTACCGATAGACGAACCCCTAGACCCAGACATAGTAAAACAACTTTACGAACTTATCCGAACCGATCGTGACTGGACATTTTCAATAAAGATTAGTAATCACCCCGAAGTGACCAATCCAAAAAAACACAATGAAAAGGAAACTGCAGACAAAACCAATTAGGAATCGATTATCGCAAGGCTAATTATACCTCCGTAAAGATTCCGGAGAATTCCAAGCTCCGGTCAATGAAAGTTTTACGGGGCTCTTGTATTGAGGAACGAACCTGACCACTTTTAAAGCCAAACCTTTGGTCAATGACTCTGACGCAGCGTTCTCCTTCAAGATTCGATATCACAATCGTTTGATATCCAATATCGTGTAGCGCCAGACGTCAATTGGTGCAAGTCCCTTTCGATCTTTTCATTGTATCACGGGAATTGGGGTTCGGTGAATTTGAAGAATGGATTTATTGGGGGATCACAAACCATATCGGACCAGGACGATGACTTCAACTTCCTTATCGGGCGTACTAAAATATTGTGAAAAGGAACCCTTTATACTCGTGTCGGGAAAGTACACAACTAATAAATTTGATTTCACGTTTAGCTCTGCCGGTTATAAAATTTTGCGATAAGTCGCAGTGCCATTCGAATTCCCAGGATAATTTCTGAAAAACTCCATTTTATTGCGTCACTTTGTATCAGCTGAAAAAAATAGCCACCCAAGCCATCATAATAAAAACTCTTAACACAGTTAATTCCTTTTCAATAATGTTTTATTTTAATGTACTTGCATTATATTTAGTTAATAACTAGATTTGTAAATTATTCTCACTTGAATGCGTCTATAAATTAAATCTTATTCGTAACTCTTGTCTCTCAGCATTACTAGATAAGAAAAAAAATAGAAGTACCACACACATACGATGATCTTTAGGGGAGGGTTCTTCTCTCTCGCTATCCACTAAAATTAGTTTCAATATGTGCTCTACATCATGTCTGTTGTGTTTGCATTATCTCTATGTCAGTTAATCAGTTATCAGTTAATCAGTTTATCAACAATTGTACAAGTGACAAATCTACAATGAATTCGATAGAACACCGAGAACGTTGACAACTCTGGCGAATACAAATTGAAATAATAAGACTTTGACCTATTCGTAAGAATAATGTTTCATTTAAGAGTAACCAATAATATAAGTAGTTTTCCATAGACTAAAATATAGTTTGTTTTCTCTTCATAGAATTTTAAAAGGCGACATTAAAAACAAGGATTCATTAAACGAATTTGCACTACAGTGTGGAAGGCAGCGGGAGGGGGCGAAGTGGGGGAGATTCGGGTTCCCCCCGTTCGCCAAAAACCTCCTTGGCCCCTCCAATAGTTAATCAAGTGAATAATGTTTTAAGATAACGATTAGAATGAATTACTTTAAATTAGCAAATAATGGTAAAGTAATTACACACGAAAGATCTAAAAACAAACAGCAAAAAAAAGTTTCATAATAATAATAATAATGATTTAATGATAGCGATAATAATAATAGTAAACTACCGTAGAAAAGAATAACACGCCAAGTCTTTCATTTTGACATAATGTATATGTGTGGATCATCACTTGTACGTTATATTAACTAAATTATTTATTTATGACGATGACGACAATGAGAACAATGACGACGACGACTATTAAGCTGAATTACGATTTCCAAAGAAATCTAATATATATTTATATATATATATATGGTTTATATATTGTTTCCGTTGCTGCCGATCTATTCTCAATGTGAAATACATTTGAAATTAAAAACTCTTTTTCTTCTCAACAAAATAAATATGTTTAACATGGTTGAGTGGTTGGTGTAGGTTAGTGTGTTATTGGTGTGTTGGTGTGGTGTTGTGGTTGTGCTGCACTTAGAACAACTCTACCTAAAATTGCTGCTAAGCTATAAACACCCAGAGAATTGGTAACTGTAAGCGATTTTTGTTTGCAACAATTTTCATTGCTTTTGTTTCGTTTTAAGAGAGTTCTTCTTGCATATACAAAAGAATTTTGAAAGAAAGGCATTTTGAGGTCTTCACTCCTTTTTTCAGTAGGCTAGTTTTGGTAGCAACAATTAGTTTTTTTTTTTGTTTTTTTCTTTTTTGCATTTGTCTGTCTGTCAAAATGGATTTTATTTACAATGGGTCTGGGAACAAGTATCCATTTCTTTTAACTGAATGGGTTTTTTCTATTTTGTTTGTTTTACTTTATGTTTGTTTGTTGACTAACAATGGCACACACGCATATATAGATATTTTGAATTCGTAACGTTATTTTGTCTGTTTCTTAAATGTTTTTTCATTGTTTGTTAGGCATTCTGCGGCTTAAGTGCGGGTGTTTGAGGTGAGGCAAAGGGTTGATTTGTTTTTCTTTTTTTTCTTCCAATTCCATCATCTCCATCTAAGTTTCAGCTGTTCGAAGTAATCTTGTACTCTTTGCGGTTTGAGTAGTTTCAGTATGAATACAAATTAAACAAACGTTATATAATGCATGCAAATATATAAAAATTATCGTTCAGATATTATCCGTTTTTAGAAAGCCTATTATTATATTTACAAATCTCAGCAAAGTAGCAACAAAAAATTAAAATTATCAGGTTTTGCCAAGAGTAATTTGACTTTTTTTTTCGTTTTTTGTTTAGTTTTATATCTGATGAACGCTTGATATTTTAGTTAAGTTTATTTAGTGTATTTTGTTTTTGCATTTCGTTAAATTTATAAAAACTATGTACACTAGGTAGTAATGCCTACTTATAAACTGAGTATGGTAATATCTTAAGCGGTTCTTTCTCAAACCCGACAGTTCTAGCCGATCCGTAGGATTAACGCCCGCCCGCCCGTTGGTGCCATGATGAATGTGGCCAAAAATCGTAACCTAGCTGATCTTGATCTTCCCCCCCGGTTTGGTATCCAATCGTGGGCAGTCAACAAACAAACGTTTGCCTTATTGTTGTATGTGTTTTTGGGTTAGTGAGGTGTTAGGTGCTCTTATTCATATATGCGTGTGTGTATTTTCTTGAGTTTGGATGTTGTTTGTTATTTTATGATTGAGGGGCTCGCTCTCTTTAGGCTCAGTCGCTTTTTTTACAACTTAACGAACGTTCTTGTTAGGGGGCCTCTGCTTTTGGCAGTTCTTCTGGAATCTGCCTGTTGCTATACGCTATGTGCTATTTGCGGTCTGTAAAAGCTGCATCCAGCCGCAATCCGGGGTAACCGAATTTATCGGCCTTTCTCGAGCCTGCTGCACAAGACTCAAGCATTCCTTTGTTGCACTGCCAAGTTGCTTGATTTGGGTTTGAGTGATTGTTGTTTAAGTTTGCTTTTTGTTTTCATGTAGTTCTTGGTTACTAGTTGAGTTGTTCACGAAGGCTGTTAGTCACGCATCTCCACCCACTTTGCGAGGTTTCTGGCGACCAGTTCCTTATTGATAAAGATTACATTCTGCAAATAAGAACAAGAGTTAGAAAACTTACGTTGAACAAAAAGGGGCGTTGTGCCTTAGCAATTGCCTTAGTCAGTTGCTAAAGTAAAGCATGTGATTAGTTTTGTAAAGACTTAATTAGTTCTAAACTGCTAAAACACCAACAACTACAATTTACTCAAAAGGCGAAGTATTCTTAATTGAGTTGTTATGGCAGCCATCTCCCTCTATTAAATCAGGCCATCTCTTTCTGATCGGCGGTTAATACTCACATTGGGACCTAGAGAAGCGAATAAATAGATTTCTGGTATGTTGTGACTATTGTAGCCGGCGACTTGTGCTTGCAAGACAATGCCTTTGGTTAGTTGGTTGAGGATTTCGCCCGCCTCGATGGACCATGTCTCATCTGTCAACGAAAAGGAAAAGAATTAGTATTGTTTTATAGATAGAATTAAATCTGCACACTAACCGATGGGCTCAATGTTGGACAGGATGCATTCGGTGGCCTGGAAGGGCACGCTCATGAAATCGGTGCGAATTTGGCGCAGTGTGCTGAAGCCGACGTTCATGTAGCCGCCAAAGTCGAGGAACTTGACCAGGCAGCGCTCCTCGTCCTCGGGATCCTTGTCGACGATCTGCACGCGATACCACACCCCATTGATGGGTATCACGCACACGGCACTGATCTCCAAGCTGGGCAGCAGCGGCGACTCCTCGGTGGAGTAGGTATCGTACAGCTGCCTCTGCAGCATGGGCAGCGATGGGTGCGAGGGGTGCAGCGGGTGCTGGATGAACACGTGCGACCCGGACATCACCGCGCTCACCACCACATCGTTGTTGATGCCCTCGATCAGTTTCAGCTGCGGGGAGGAGTTAGCCAAGGCATTAGAGATATACGATGAAGATACATACAACAGCAATATCAAGGATGGGGACTCGAAATCGAAATCGCAATCGCAATCGAAATTGAAGTTGGTACTCGGAACAACCGATCGCGCCGACACGACAAGAACAGCGGTGTGGGTGTGTGACCACCAACCACTTAGAGAAATGCAAGTGCTCTCTGCGTATTCAACGGAAGGAATACTACCATAAATCATCAAATGAAATCAGCCAGTTAGCCAAAAGAGCTTTAGCTTTAGCCATAACCATATCGTGTCGGCGGCATCGTCGCCGCATTTTGTCATCGTCACACCATCACTCACTTGTAGATTGTAGAGGCTCTCGGCCGAAAGAGGAACTATGGTCTGCGGAAGCGCATAGTGGATGCGTTGCATGGTAAAGTTGGGATACCGCTTGGCCGGCAAACGCTGACGGATCATGGCCAATGCGGCATCGATTTCGCTCTCGGTTCCCTCGATGGTGCAGATGCGCACCTTGCCCGAGTACGGGTTCTTGCTGAGGGCCACGCTGGCCAGGGTCTTGGCCTTGATCTGGTTGATGAACGTACGCTTGCGGCCGTACAGATGTCCGATCAGACTGATGGGGAAGAGGAACTCGTAGGTGGCCTTCACGCGGGTCGCCTCCGAGCGGGGCAGGCTGGATCCCTTGCCGGAATCGCCCGACTGAACGCTGCAAATGCTCAACGAGGGACTGGCCGCATCCACATTGCGCTTCTGGTTGCCATTGTTGTCCACCGCCTCCTCTTTGAGAACCGTCTGCTGCTCCTGCTTGTTGGCCACAACACCACTAGAAGCCTCTTGTTTGGCCACCTCTTTCTTGACCACCACCTCTTCCTTGGCCGCCTCCTTGGGCTCGCAGTTGTTGTTCTGCTCGCACTCCTTGCTGGTGTAGTTGGTCTCCAGGAAGGAGTTCTCTGGTGATATTTTTGGTGTACGCGTGGCCTTGATCACCACCGGCTCCACGGTCTTTTGGCTGGCCTTGCGATTGTAAAAGGACACACGGTTGTTCACCGAATCGGGCAAGTCACGAGGCGAGGAGAGATTCTCGAAGTCCTCGTCTATGGAGCAGAGTTTCTTGTGCTCGGCATCCTGGATCTTGGACTTTAGCATCTCGGAGTCAATCTGCTGCTGGTGTTTGCCGTTCGAGCTGCGTCCGTTGCTCTGGATTTTGATGGGTGCCGACTTGCCGTACAACATGGTTGTTGGACTGTCCTTTTCATCGCTGCCACTTCCGCTGTTGCTGCCACTGAAACTTCCGTTTCCGCTGCCATTGCTTACGGTTCCGTTGATGTTCATCGACTTGCTGGCCGGCTGCTGCGGCAGTTTACCATTCTGCAGGACTCCGTTGGCCTTGCGCGCCTGCACGGCGGGCTCAATCGACGAGTCCTTGCCGGTGATGCCGTTTGTGTCCTCGTCATCGGGCTTGTCTAAACGATTTTTATTTCTACGCCGAAACCAAAAGACGCCGAGTATAAATGCTACACCGGGCAGTGACAGGTAGAGTAGAGGACGACCGGATACCATTTTCGCTGAATATTGAAGGATCTGTAAGGTATGGATAGATTTTAAGTAAAAGGCCTACTTAGATGAGGTTTAGAGAGGATGCCAACACTTCTGTTTAATTTACAATCATAAAATGTGCCACTGACCAATCGATAGGCAAATTCTTATCAGGGCAACAATTTAAAAAGGAAGTAGCGTCGTATATAATTATTTTAAATGCTTGTCATGACAAAATATATCAAAAAGTACACAAAATACTATTTTTGTAAACAGTGAATAAATTGGTTTTGAGAGTATTTCAACGAAATTGAAAATATCTTAGATAAGATCATTTTAATTTGTTTTGGAAATCGCGTTCACAAAATATTTAAAGAAAATATGTTGATAACACCACATGACCGTTTAAACAAAATAAAATCTATTTTTAAATATTTCAAAAACCTAAAAAAAAGGTTTTCGATTGTTTTTCGGAATCACGAGACCCGCGTGCATGTGCTTCCTTGCAATAGTGCGCGTGCATGTGTGTTTTAGTTTGTGCTTGTGTATTTGAATTGGCTTTTTCCTTTCTGAACTTTTGCGTATTAATAGCAACAAATAAATACATAAATATAGACGACAACACATATGTCGAGAGCGAAATAAGGTGCAAACCAATTTTTGAATGCCACGCGGAAGGGAAAAACGCAATGAGAGAGAGTGAGTGAAGACGACGCAGAGGGATAGAGAGAGTGAGCAAGATCGCAAATGAAGAGCGCGTGCGCAAGAACAACAAGAAAGCAAAAGAGAGCGACGGAGAAAGAGAGAGTGCGAGAACAAACCGTTACGTTTACGGCAACAGGCAAATGTTACGAAACAATTACAAAACAAAACTAAAAGTTACGAAAACAAGACTTTGCCAGAAATGGTTCACCTTTTAACTATTTGTATCACTTTAGATATCACTAATTCACTAGCTGATCTAAAAACAGGTTCGTTGTTTTTTTCCGATATTCGTTTTCTTTTTGTCGCTTTATGGCATTAATTCGTTAAGGGTTTTTTTTTTGGAGTCTGAGTGCTTTTGTTTTTGTTTGTTTTTTTTTTTTTCGTCGGGCTATTGTTTCGGTTTCGAAATGCCGGCTATATTGTTCGAAAGATTCGAGATATCGATATCGACTGCTCGATATAAGAAGGGAAACTACTTTGCCCGCCTTCTAATTGCCATTTCTTCGGGGTTTTTTTTTTTTATTTCGGCACCAATTCTCCGCTCTTTACTCCATCCACATCTTCCCCTTCTGGCCCCCCCTTCTTGTTTCCCCGCGCAAAAAGAGAGGATGCGTAGTGGCAAAAGTTTTTTTTAGCGCCCCTTGCCACCCACACACACTCACACCTTATTAGTGCGAACGAGAAAGAGACGGAAAAAAAGAGCGGCGAACTCATTAGAACAAAGAAATCCTCAATCCGTTACTCGAAATCCATTCAAATCAGTCGCAGATGCAGATTCAATTTTTTTTTAGTAACATTTCCACAATGTGCTAGTCGTGAAGGAACAGTGGTTAATTTTAAACATAAATTAGATTTTTGTTTATTTTGAATGAAGGTTTATAGAGTGGGCAAATACAAAATTTGCAGTTTTGGGAAATTTATTATCGTGTGCACTTATTGACTTACTTTATATTGATTTTTAAATGATATTACGTAACGACACGCACATAATTTTGACCTCAACTTAATCTATTTTGTACCATTGTACTGAGCTTCCCTTCAACTATTTCCTCACAGAGGACAAATGATAAGCCCAATCACCAAACAACAAATAGAGACAGATCGCCGGGTAGCACAGGGGTTGGTGGGGGGCGGTTGGAGAGAAGGGCAATCGGGCAGACAGCTGTGGCATTTCCTAATAAAAAAAAAAAAAAAACCAACTGACGGGGAGTTTTACAGATTTTTTTAATAGGGTATCAACACTAAATGTAGGATTTTGCAATTAATCAAAATTAATTTATAGAGAATATCATTTGTTAAACCGGAATAATTTTTTACATTAAAATATTTTTGGGAAGTACATATGTATGTACATATATTAAAAGGTTTGAAACAGATAAATAGAAAAACATAGTTAACATGTTCGCATCAAAGTTTAGAGTATTTAAACTACCTGTTTTTTTTATATACATTTTAGACTGTAAGCTTGTTTACACATGAATACTGATGTGTGTGCGTGCGTGTCTTGGCATGCAAACAAACATGTTTTTTGTGCTTTTCTGTAATTTTTGACTTTGAACTTGTGTGTTGTTGTTGCTCGAAACTCGAATTTCCATGTGGTTAAAAAAATAGAAGAAGGGGAAGTAAAGCAACAGCCAAAAATTGGAAATTCCTCTTTAAACTCCGAAAGAGCGAACGAGCGAGAGAAGGGTGAAGAGAGCATCAAAACAACAACAAGCCAGGTGCAACAACATTGCCAGCTAGCCGAAAAAGTCCACATTGTTATAATCTTTGCAACGTGGTTTCCGATCATATGGTGGCCAAAATGGGCGGGGATTGTATAATCGGGAAAATATCTCTCTATTTATATATAAATATATATAATGTGGGAGTGGCTGCTCCTTTTTGGCTCTCTTTCTAGCAGTAAAAAACTAACATTTAACGGTGAAAGCTGTAAAAAACACACACGCACAAATAGATAGCATACTTATGCTCTCTTTCTGTCTGTCTGGTTGTATTTAAGTATGTATGTGTGATGGCATTGTGTAATCGTCGATTTTAACTCCAAATTTTTCCCTTTGCCACCCACTGTCACTTTGCCGGAACAACAACAACAAAGATTCAACACTCGAACAAAAACTAAAAAAAAACGGTTGAGGGGAAGTGTAGAAGGAGGGTAAAAGGAGCAGAGAAAGAACGGTTACAGACAAGTGGAACCAATTCGTAGAATTCCCCACGCAGAACAGAACATGACACCATTTTCCATCTTCTCTGTTTTGGCAAACACACACAACGCACTTTTTTGTACTAGGTTATGTTCCGCGTGCTTCAATTTCTTACCTCTTGCAACCGCTTGGGTAACTTATTTTGCACTCCGTTTGTGGGTGTTTTTTAATAATCTATGTTGCACTCGCGTGTTTTAATAGTCTTTTTGTTGTTTGCTGGGGTTTTTCTTGGCTTTCTCAACGTTAGAGAGCTGCACGAATTAAACACGTGTCTACGTTCCACCTTTTACAAATCACAATAACATGGCCGGCGTGCGGCAGTGTTGCCATCTCTTTTCGGATTCGGCAATTCTAGCTGCCGCCTATTTGTAACGTTGCAATTCACGATAACAAAATAGCACGATTGGACGTCCCGCGCACTTTACAATTGCTGTTTGCTCCGAATTGCACCTAATTGTTTGCACAAAGCCAAAAAAAACGTGTGTGGATTTGGTCATCGGGTCGAATGGCAACACATGCACAACTAGGGTTGCTACTGCATATCGATGTCTACCGATGGCTGCCAAGCAACTCTGAAGTGGCAAACGTTAGGGCAGCCTTGCCACCCCGTTGCAGAAAATGTGTTAGCTAGTGCGCTGGAAAACGGTTTCGATATATGCAAAAAGTTTTCATTCAATATTAGACATCAATTAAGAATTGAAGCTTTGAAAAGAATTCTAAAAAAAATATTTGATCCCCAAGAGAAGGTATTTTTTGTAATTTTTTATGGAGCTGCATACAAACATTTTTCTATATTCCGGGAAAAACATTTCAACATATTTAAATTTGTATTGGGGTATTCCTTATCGTATAATTTTGGAGTTCCTTATTTAAAATATGATGTTATATAATGTTAGAAACCACCGATAATTTGTTAAAAATATATCTGATGTCAATTGTAGAGGAATTTTTTTTAATGTGTTCAGGAATACAAAAAATTGCTTGCCCAACCCTTTACCCCTTACCGTATAATTTTGGATTTCCTTGTTTAACATATTAAATGTTAAAAACCACAAATAATGTGTTAAAATTTATCTGTTGTAAATTGTAGAGGTATTTTTTTTAATTTGTTCAGGAGTACAAAAAATTGCTTGCCCACCCTTTTTTTTAAAAGTTATCCCTTATCGTATAATTTTGGATTTCTTTATTTAACATATTAAATGTTAGAAACCACCGATAATTTGTTAAAAATTTATCTGATAGCAATTGTAGTGGTATGTTTTCAATGTGTACAGGAGTTAAAAAAATTGCCTGCCCATCCCTTTTTTAAAATTCCAGAATATTTTAAAAATATTTTGCAACATCTTTTACATATTTTAAAATGACAAATCTTCATCCTATAGCCACGGTTTCTGTTATTTTGACAGATTGGAAATTGTCAATTTTTCTCGGCAGTGAAATTTGCTAAATATCAATTATAACAAATTTCTAAAAAAAAAAATATTTAATAACTTCAAGCCGGTATTCCATTGGTTTTAAATACAGGTGAGTTAATGTTTTTAATTATGGTTTAAATTATTAAAATGGTTGAAATTGAAACGTTTAAAAACCTTTGATATACAATATTTTCCCCGAAAAACAGGATCTTATGTTCTTATAAAACGGTCACTATGCAACACTACCTTTACATATCGATATTATCGCGGACTATCGCCACCTTCAGCTGCCATATTGTTTCCTGCGCAATTTTTTTTCGCTCTTTCCACTTTTTAACAGCGACTGAGGTAGTGTGTTATTCCGTGAAAATTTCGGTCATCTTTTTGTTTTATGTGTTGAATGTGAACAAAACAAATAAGTGATAAGCCAATACAGTCAAACCCACTAACCGTTTGCATTTGGGGCATAAAACAAACCGGAAAAACGAATTGTGAAATAATAACTAATATCTCTGGAATTCCAACAGTGAAGATGGCTGTGCGCTACGAGCTGGCAATTGGTCTGAACAAGGGCCACAAGACCACCAAGATCAGGAATGTCAAGTACACCGGCGACAAGAAGGTCAAGGGTCTGCGTGGATCCCGCTTGAAGAACGTAAGTTTTGTGCCCCCGGAAATTGGTTTGTTTACATGGGCTTCGATGATAACCCGACGATCATATTCATACCTTCCAGATCCAAACCCGTCACACCAAGTTCATGCGCGATCTGGTGCGCGAGGTGGTGGGCCATGCTCCCTATGAGAAGCGCACCATGGAGTTGCTGAAGGTGTCCAAGGATAAGAGGGCCCTGAAGTTCCTCAAGCGCCGTTTGGGCACCCACATCCGTGCCAAGAGGAAGCGTGAGGAGCTGTCCAACATCCTCACCCAGCTGAGGAAGGCCCAGACCCACGCCAAGTAAACGGTTCCGGATCGAAGCTGAACCGGCGCAGCCGGAGAACGGATCGAAACGCCGCGTTGTGTTTTCCTTTTTTTTTCCGGTGTGAACATATAGTTTTAACTACCATATGTCGACGTTACTTGTGAACGAGTCTAAGCAACCCATAATTAAACAACAAAAACTCTTCAAAAAAACCCAATCACACATGTGTTTATTTTTTTCGAGTGCAGAGGAAGCTAACCTCACAAATGGTCAACAAATTGTGGAAATAGAGCTTGAGAAGAGATTGTGCAAGAAGAGCTGAATGGAAAGAGACACAGGCGTGTAAAACGTGTTTCTATGTGAGGAATTCGGAATAATAGAATATTAGCTCGAACCGCAGTACCTTCTATCAAAAAGAGATAGAACATACATGAAATCAAAGTTGCATCTTCAATTAAAATGTTTTTTGCCTAAAAACTCCACTAAGACTTCCCCCTAAAAGTTTACTCTTTAAAAAAGGTTTTCCAAAAAACCAAAAAGCAAAAATAGCAAACGTTTTCTTTTGGGCTTGGTTTATTTAAATGCTATATACCTTAAACAGTAAAGTTGCTACTGGAAACTGTCAAATCTCTAAGGACTATATGACAAATATATCCCGATCCGGGATGGATAATACCGAGAGTGCTGATGCATTTTCGTGCACAAAGGGTCAGGCACGTACAACTTAGAATAATGTTTGAGAGATATGATTGTACAGAATTAATTAATTTTTTCGGTGGCAACATAGCGCCCATTTTTGATATAATTTGTGATAATTGAGATTTAGAATTAATTTCAGAACCTATGTCCGTCCCATTGATTAGTCAGGAAAACATAATACAGATATGGTTAATGTGTTTTAAAAGTTCACTAAAAGATCAAAAACAAAACATGGGAAAAATGGTTGGATATTTTCTAACGAAATCAGTCGGGATGAGAATACAAACAATTATTAATTATCTAAACCCAATAATAATCCTTTTTCCTACATTTAGACCCCAAGGCAGTTGATATTACTTATTTTGTATAGTGGCGTTACCCTTGCTTTTCCTTACTCTATGATTAATCTTGTCGTGGGCATTTTGTGCCCGGGAGTTTTCCTAATTTGGACATATGTCTAGAGCTAAAGCTTAGATATAAAGGGCACACGAGATCAGAAGTGTTGGCTAGCTGCCGTTGGTTCCGTCCATCTCCATTCCTCACAGCTCCTCCGTTAAACTGGGCAGTGAGATGACCACCTCGCCCATCAGCTGTGCCTCGTGCGGATCATTCGAGACGATGATGCGCTCGAACTCGGTGTTCGTGGGGTCCACGATCTCGTAACAGGTGCCAGTGCCCGGCTTCAGATCGATTTCCATCGAGACATTCACCTGTGGCGAGAGTATCTGCTGCGTGACCTCCAAGCTCTCGATGCGCGTGGTCTCCAGGCGATAGAATCCGTTCTCGTCCACCCGGTAGGTGAATCTCTTGTGACCCGAGGGCAGCCGGAAGCCGTGCTTCTTGATCAGGTGAGCGGACAGGGATTTGCCGCTCTTGAAGAAGCGCTCGCAGCAATGGCAGGCATACAGGATGGGATTGTTGCCATGCACCTCCAAGAAGTGCTGCGCAAAACGAAAGGAATTTGTTAGAATTATATCAATATATTTAACCACATAAGTTAAGATCTCACCCTTCGCATCTGCGTGTAAGTTCTCACGGAGTAGTGGCAATCGGGATGCTCGCATTGGTGCACCGTCTTGGAGTGGACAATCTGAACGTGCTTGGCCAGATCCGATTCCCGGACGCAGCGCGTATCGCACTCGCTGCACTTGAGCGGCTTGTCCTTGAGGTGGCGGTACCGGATGTGGGTGGTCAGCGAGCTGGCCGAGCTGCAGGTCATGTCGCACATGGTGCACTTGTAGCAGTTCACGTGGCGCACCACATGACTCTTCAGCAGCTTCTTGGTGGCGAAGAACTTGAAGCACTGCGCGCACTGGAAGCTGTTCGCTGCGAATTAAATAAATATAATGCTTTAAATAATCGTAACTATTTAACAAATAAAAAGTGCAGTGAAGAGACATTTTAATTTTTATAAAGAAAAGGAAATGTTGAAAAAAAAAAACATCTTTTAAAATGTATAAAAGTATTTGCTATTTCATTTCACATATGAGATACATTAAGGAGGGGGTGTTTACCACAATCAATAGAAAACTCAATAAATAAATCACCCCCATATGATGCTTGAAAAATCAATGCTTGTTAGACGATAAGAACAAAGTACTTCTTTTTGTATTAAATATGCCTACAAGAGACCGGAATATAAGGGGAGCTCTGAATTAAATATTGAAACACCCCGATTAAAAGAACGTCTAGAGATAAATGAACGCTTAAATGGCATTCAGAAAAAAAGACAAATCAAATAAAAGGAATGAGAGAAGTTGGAATGAAAAGCTTTATAAGGAATGTATCAGATATAATAATAAGAGGATGCAGATCCCCCATCCAAACTCACTGTTATTCTCCGGCTGGCGTCTCAGGTGATCGAAGAGCGTGGTCTTGGTGCGGAAGAGCTCGCCGCAGTGGAAGCAGGCCACCTGCTTCTTGTTCGAGTGGGTGCTGATGTGCTCGATGAGGCGGTACTTGTTGCCCATGTGCTTGTGGCACATCGTCCAGTTGCACATGGTCTTGGGCCGCTCGTCCTCCGGCGTCTTCTGGATGTCGTACTCGAACAGGGCATGCTTGACAATGTGATCCTGGAACTCGACAACCGACACGAACTCCCGCTCGCAGTCGGTCCATCCGCAGCGGAAGTTCTGGCCCAGGATCGGCAGCTTGTCCATCTGGCGAGCGGGAGCAGTGCAGGCGGGGATTTCCGGGTGCAGATCGCACTCCAGCTTTCCCTGCAGCAGGAGGTGCAGGTAGTAGCCGTGGTAATACGAATGTCGTTCGAATTCGACGAGGTTGGAGGTGCTGAAATCGCAGGAGTTCCACGTGCACTGATGCTCCTTGTGGTCGGTCTCCTTGCCAGTGTCCTGATCCCGGGCGTACTGCTCCAGGTGTTCGGCTATGTGGCTGTTCAGGTTCCATTCACCCGTGCAAATCTCCTGGCAACCGCGCCATCCGCAGGTTAATTCCAATTCCGCGGGCTTCTTTCGTTTTCCCGGCGGCTGTGGCAACGGCATCGATGGCTGGGGTCTCAACATGGCTATTTCTCGAAAGGAACTGGGGTAGTCAAGCCTGAAATCTGAAAATTTGACACTATTTCGGGCGGTTTTCGTGCGAAAAGCAATTTTGTGGGAGCCCAAACTAGCGATGGCAGTCGCTTGCTTTGATATCGCAACGCCCACTTGGCGATACCTATCGGTTTCGATAGTTCAAAAAGTTTTCAAATCATTTCAGGATTTATTCCAAGGATTTTAAAACAATCTTAAGTAAAATGGTCCGTAAATAACCCAGTTTTTAAAGTTGAAACTTCGTTCTTACACTTTGGGTTTTTATTTAATTTGGAACTTTTTTGAAAGTAGATTACATTTGTCCCGACTTCATGTTTCAAAATGTAATCCGTAACGTGTACTTATAAGTAAATTATATTTATTATAGCTTTTTGGTGTGACATTCAATTTATTTTCCACTTTCTCCAATAAACAAGAAAAATATAAGCTTATTTACAAAGAAGCTGCTTTGCGGTTGCCCACTATATATATCGATCCATATTTTAAAAAAAAAACTTAAAGATTATAGGATATTTTTCATTGGGGGTTGATATTAATAGCGCAAAAACTACCCTCGCAAATATGTTGCATTCACCTTCCCCCAGCAATAAATTATTCTTACATTACTTTTGAAAAATAAATAGGTAAATACTAGGTCTTTCAATTAGGTTCTTGAATGCCTCAATATCCAAATATAAGAAAAACACTAATTATGAGGGAGACCTTCAGATCTGGCATAGATAGTTTTACTTATTAAAGATCGAGATGCTTCAGCTTATAACTAAGGATAATTTATAGATAAATTGTTTTCTGCTTGACGGCTAGTTGTTCTTATCTTACAAGACCGATGTGCCAAAAACCTCTTACAATTTTCAATTGGAATTTGGGTTGGCCAAGGTTTCTGTTACACTTCGGATATATTGCGCTCGAACGAGGTGCGGACCTTTAAAGGGATGTTAGCCCCGCGTTGGAAGCTCAGCTGCCTGGTATGGTTATACATATGTTCTGTTTGATCGGGGGTTCTACAAAAACGTCCAGAGTTTGGACATCACTTAGAAAGGGTTATCTCTTTGTATTAGAAACCCTTTCACTCACTCTTCGTGGCATCTTTTTCTGGTGATTTCTGTGGTGCCTTAGACTATAAATATCCCGAAATATCATTTAAAGTCCCGGCATTACGTAGGCGATATTATCTAGTGTGTCGGCTAGGTTTTTGCTTAGCTGCACTTTGTTCTCCAGTCCCGGAATCTGTGTGGTCATGCAGAGCAGAGGTCCCATGGCGCAGAGCAAGCTGTCGAGGAGTACGGACAGGCTTCCCGAGAGAGCCACATGTCCGTTGTGCTTTTTGAGACGCTCGCCGATCACCGTGAGGCTTTCGCCCAGGAGTTTCAGGTGCGCCGCCGCATCGATCACTTCGATGCTGGTCTTGTGATGTTCCTCCTGCTTCTGCTGACCGCCAGTCCGAGCGCCCACATCCGCCTCCGACGGCGATAGTTGTTTCGCCGTACTTGTGGATGCCAGTGTCCTGGCACTTCGTGTGCTTATGCTGCGTTTTGGGGTGGAGGAGGAGGTGGTCGCCGCTGCTGCCGCCGCCGCCGCTGCCGCGTCCAGGGAGGATTGCTGACGGTCGGCGGCCAGTTTGCGAGTGCGACTCGTCGTCGCCCGGTTCTGGAAGCTCGACTCGTGCTGCGGCGCATCTGCTATGGGCGCGCTGCCATTGCTCACCGCTTGTGCTGTTCCATTAGGAGCGGTCCTTTCGCGGGATCGGGCCCTGGACGCCTGGATCTTGGCCTTGCGCCGCCAGGCGTTCTTGTCCCGGTTGGACACATTCGCCCACAGCTCGCTGAGTCGTCTGGTAGCGCTGGTGAAGTCTGAGAGTGTGGAAAATAATTAGTACCCAATAAGTTAAGTATAACTACAACTACAACTTATAGGGCGTGTTTGAGTAAGATTTGAAGGGGTTATTTCCCTAAAATTCTTTAGACCTATATAAATCAAGAGTCAACCTACCAAGATCCTGGAGTTCCTTTTTGCGTGCCTCCCTGGCCCACAAGCTATACGCGGTATACCGCTGCCTTCCCTTGTCCTTGCGTTGCACCTTGGCACTCAACACCTTGCCGTCCTTTAAAATCTTTCGCTTGGTGGCCTTCTCGCGCATGTAGAGACTTTGCCTGACGGGTGACTCCTGGTTGGTGGCCTCCGCCTGGACGCCGTCCACAAGATCCTGTACTAGGTTGTCCAGCTCATCATCCGAATTCAGGATGGCCACAGCCGTTGTCGTTTCCGGTTGGAAGTCCTCGCCATCCGAGATGTTCGGCTCATCGAAAAGCATCTCCTGGTCGAGTTCCAGATCCCGCAGAGCATTTGATGGACGTCCGCGGCCGGCATACCTTGATGGTTGTCTTCCGCCACTTTGGCGCCTTGTTCGCTTTTCAATTTCCTCCGGCGATTCAAAATCCAACAGTTTTGATGACTTTTTGCGTACGCGTCCACTGCGCGAAACTCCAGTCACCTGGAAATCTGAACGGGGAAGATCGCATTGGTGACCCCGATTCCGATTTAATTTTTTTTAGCTCACCTTTGGCCACCAGGTGCGAGGTGGGCGACTCCATTTTCGGATCCCCGATTTGGAAGATTCAGATGCTATAGCTGCAATTTGTTGTAAACGACGCAAGCGAGCAGCGAACAGCTGTTCAGTGTGACCAGATCACAGTCAAGTTATACATCGCTTAAATGATTCAGAAATCAATCTCCCTTGAATAGAAAACAATTTAACCACAACTTGTTGAGGGTTTCGTTAAAAAAAGGATAAAATTTCGGATAACTCTGTTGGTTCAAGTTTGGATCACTTTCTGCAAGCCATCAAAAACTTGTACAAATCTTACAAGCAGAGAGGTGAAAAAATTTACCTGCACCAATATGAAAAATTTAAATCAGATTGCTTAATAATTCAAACACAAACGGTTAGAGGTACGTCATTTCAAGATTAGGTTAAAATTGGTCTAGTAATTGGTTTCGGAACTGCAGAATTGTTGCGTTATTTTTCTTTTCATGAATTAAATTCAAATTAATGGGATACACCGATACTATCGCTCTCAAGTATTCAATTTTTAGCAGACCGCTGGTCACACTGCCGCACCTTTGTTTTGTTTTGTGTTTTTTGTTGTTGTTGTGAGTCGAAGCGGCTTTTGGTTTATTGATTTGCTTGTTTGCACCTGACTTTTGAATAGAACGTCCCATGGCACGCGATTCTCGCCGCTTGTGAATCGCCGGTAGCCCCCAAACCCAAGGACATTGGTCATTTTGGCCCCCAAATCCCACCGCATTTGGTTTGGCGACCCGCACCCGTTTGCTTTTCATGACCAAAACGGCCGCTGCGATTCAAACGAAATTCAAACGGAGCTTATCCGCAAAAACATTCGCGCAGCGTCAATCAGTCGAAGCGGTACTTAATCGGTGATACGAATATATTTTTATATAAACCATGTCGGAGGAAAACATGGGCGTTACAAAAATCAGGGGAGCAGAAGGATCGGGATTCGGATCTGGAAACGGAGCAAGTGCCTCAGAAACGGACAATGTGACCGCACTGGAGCTGCAGTCCAACAAGAGGATGCTCTACTTCAGCGATGGAGTTATGGAGGAGTTATCCTCCAGCGAGGACGAAGCGGATGCGGAAATGGTCGACAAGTCCTACGATGTCCATTTAAATGAGGTACGTTAACCGGAAAATCCTTCAGAACCTAATCAACTCGAATTTGGAGAAGTTTTATAAAAGTTTATTAGTATGAGAAAGTTTTAAAACTTAAACATGGGAAAATTTTGTTTTTGAATTTTTGTTGGGTTTAAAATAAAATAATAAATGAGAAATTTAAATTGATTTAAATATCATGCCAAATGTGTTTATATAATGTTAATATGCTCTGAGCATTTATGAAAAAAACTAATATAAATTGAACGTCTTAAACATTTATGAAATTCATATCTTTGGCTTTGGGCAGTTTAAAGTAAACAAGCAGACCCTGGTTATTGAAGATAAGAAGCCGGTTACATATACTCCCCGCCCAGTGACCATTCTAGTGACTCATCCAACCTCTTTTTAGAGCGAAATGGCGTTGGGACCACGCCTCCGCTACAAGGCCAGTCGAATGGGCAACCGATTCCTGGCTGGGATCGACTACGTGGGCGGCGGACTGGCCTCCCTGCTGGGAATCACCAGCAGCAAGTATGCCAGCGAAATGGAAAACTACCAGAGGGCCTAGGAAAATGGCGACGAGGACCTTGACAATTGGCAACAACCTCAGGCATTGGCAAGCGCCAACAACAACAACCATAATAATAACCGGAATGAGACCATCGTTTTGTGCGGTCCAACACGCAGTGAGGCGGCCTTGCCACCCACTCGGCAATAGGCGAAAATCGGCCACCCTTTGATTGGGTGGGGTTTTCTTGACCGACCGGAGACGGGAACAAATGCTCATGGAGTAAAGGCGACACTTGGAGACTCTTTTTTACTTGGTATAACCCTCAAAGAAACGAATCAAACGAAAACAGATCTTAACTTTTCGACACTTTATTCGCTAGCAAATAAGTTACATATAATAATAAAAAATACACATACAAAATACATATACTGTTAGTTTGGGATCTATACGGATCGCATAGACTCCCAGTTTTGTAGGGGTTTAGTAGATGGACAGCTAAAATAAGGCCTTGATCTTGTTGCTGCTTTTAATCCAATCTTCAGGCTATTGAAATTGTTCATTTTGTATCTTAAAGTTTGTTTAAAAACGGCGTTTCAAGGCGTTTTGTGTTTTTGACTCGCTAGTTTAAGTCCCTAAAGCTAATGGCACACTGAATACAATTAGGCATTACGGCTAGGATTGCAATTGCGTTTGTTTCTCGTTTTTAAGTTCGTTAAGTACACTTGTTTCGGCATCAAGAGAAGAAGACAGCAAGGTTTTTGAAGACATGAACATGCGTATCACAGTATTTGGTTGCTGCGCGTTTCTTTCTCGATCTCAAAAAAAAATAAAATATATAATAAGGTTACATAAAAATGGTATAGATGTGCGCACACAGGCGACATAAAGTCTATGTGTCTGAAAGGCAAGAGCGATTATTGGATTTGGTTACACCAAAACGGCAAAAAGGGCAACGCAAGGGGCAACTAATTAGGAGCAACATTAAGTACACACGAAAATAGGAAAATAGGATATGAGGCCCATCTAGGGCAATTACAATACATTGTCGGGGTTGGCTAGATGACCTATGACCTAAAGTTGCGGACTTGAACTAAACAAAAGGACATTTCCTGGTCTATATATACACACACAGTTCGTAGATGGGAATCCATCGTTGTTTTCTAGGGGGAGGCTAACACTCTTTGTAATAAACCATTACTCCATTCCCTAAACCTTACTCCTAGAAAACCTCGCCACCTTTAGCTTATATATTACGTACAGGACTGACTTTGGAACAGCAGCTGCCGCAGGAACCTTGACTGGAAGCATGGGGAATCCCACCCTGACATCGCAGGGGAGTCCCGATCGTGCCTAGAGCAGCGTCTCGTCACCGTAGTGCTGCAGATGCGGATAGTAGCCGCCGTGCTGGCTGTACTTCTGCGAGGCGTAGCTGCCCGGTGGGTAATACAGGCGGTGCGAGGACGAGGAATGATGGTGGTGATGCTGCTGCTGCTGCTGCTGGTGGTGGTGATAATGATGCGGCGAGTGCCGCTGCTGCTGCTTGTGGTGGTGCGTGCTCCGGCCCAGCGAGTAGTTGGACATCTGGTTGAGCGATATGGAACCGGGTGAGGTCTTCAGCTTATACGGACTCGGCGGCAAGGGAGCACTGGTCATGGAAGGCCGCACCGAATGGTAGGAGACCACCGTGCTGTTGCATGCGGCATGCGATCCCCGCGAGCTGCTGTGCCCGTCCAAATGGGTGCTTCCTCCTCCTCCACCGCCTCCGCCGCCTCCAACTGTCGGCTGCTTCACAATCTTGCCATTGCCCACTTGCCGTTTGTACAGGGTGGATATGCTGGGTCCCAGGACCCAAGCAAAGCAGCAGATACCCAGCATAAGTTCCATAAAGGCGCGCACCAAAAATGGCCACAGCGGTGTGTTGGTGTCGCCCGATCCCAGCCAGACATCGATGTTGGCAAACTCGTAAATAACCGCAAGGAGCAAAAGGGCACAAGCCAGTCCGTAGATGAAGAGGAATATGCCGATTCCGGAACTGCTGTGGGCACTCAACTGCTGCAGTTGCTGCTGCAGACTGAGGGTATTGCTGTTCCGCAGGATTTCCTTGGTGCGACAGTGGACCAGGTAGCCGGATATCAGGTTCATCGAGCCGAAGATCCAATAGCAAAAGACGGGCGTGGCCACCAGTATCTGCAGCGCCTTATCCGACTGGTTGCCCACGAAACAGACGCCTAAAATGGAGGTGGATTAGCATTCTCACGGAATCCTTTAGCGGATCTGTTGGCAAACTCACCCAGCAACTCGTCAGCGTCCACAAAGCGGGCCACAATCACAGCGGCGGTCTGGAAGGCCGGCAGTCCCCAGGCCACGAAGCACACAAAGTTGTTCTGGGTCAGATCCTGCTGGCCGCTCTTCGGAGTGCTCCTCTTCGCCGGACTGCCGGCGAAGTTCGATGGAATGGCCACATGGCCCTTCGAATCCGGACTGTGGCGGCGAATGTCGCGGTGCCAGCCCAAGCAGAGCACAGCCCACCTGGAAATAGAGAAGTTTAAGTATCGCATAAGAATAATTTGAATACATAGTTGAGCATAATAGAGATCCTTACCAGGCACAAGCAGCCATTCCGAAGTAGTAGCGCATGAGGAAGACGCTGGCGCAGGAGGCGTTCGAGAGTCCGTCCACGCTGAGCAGGGACTCGTTGGGCGCCTGGGGATCCGTTCCGCAGGCGGTGCCCGTCCTTCCCACCACGAAGCGCACCGTCCATCCCAAGGTGACCATGTTGTGGCACCAAATCAGCGGCGATAGCAGTCTGGACCACTTGGCGCTGGCCAAACGACTCCCGTCGCTGGCCAAGAGGCAAACGGTGGCCACCAGGGCCAATCCTAGAGCGGCGTACGCCCACGTGGAGACCCAGATCTCGGCCAGATGTTTTTCAGCCGGCGTGAAGAGGATGTCCGCCTCGCAAAGTGGGGCACATCGACCGGATCGCGGCAATCGGACGTACAAATGGGACTTGGCCAAACCGGAACAGTCCAGCGGAAGTTTGCCGCCGAGTCCGCCGGGTGGGATTCCCTGTCCCGGCATCCCGTAGAGATCCTGTTCCTGCTGCGGCTGGTGCATCTCGCCCGGACCCTCCATGCACATCGTCTCGTGGTTGTTCTCCCGCGGAAACCGCTCGCAGTCCAGCGCCGGCGGCCATGGGAAGCCGAAGCCCTGCAGGATCGGATGGCACCGGATCCTCACCGACTCGCAGAGACTCCGGCAAGGACCGATCGCATGCACCGGCGCCTTCGGAGTGCACATGGGCACAAAGGCGGCGCAGAGGAAGAGCTTCAGCTGGGAGCTGCAGTCGTACTCGATCAGCGGGAAGAAGGTCTGCAGCGTGTACTCCACATCGGTTTGCATCTCGTGGCCCACGAGATTCGGCATGGAGGTCTCGTTGTAGCCGATCTTGCGGCACATCTCTATCCGGATGGTTTCGCATTGCCGGAATGCGGGCATCTCTGGCGGGGAACTGGAACTCGCGCTGGGATTGCCGCTCGATGAGGGTTTCGCCAGGCGGGAATGGAGCAGGAGTATCGCCAGGATGTATATCACATGGGGAGGCATCATTTCCTTGGGGCTCTCTTCTTGGTCTTCTTAATTGCTTTCCAAAGAATTTGATTCCTTTCAAGGAATCCAAACTTGGTGGTTTTCTTTGTAATTCTTCTTCTCCAGAAAGAATAGGATTTTAATTTTAAGTTCGCTACTTTTTATCAAAGGTGAGCCTAAATTATGGGTTTCTTTCACTCGAGCTTCCCCACTTGTCTTTCGAAAGAATCCAGAATTGGGGATTTCTTTCCTTAGCTTCCCGTTCTGTTCTCCCCAAAGAATTCGAACCTTATGCAGATTCTGCTGTTTTTAGTGGAGCTCTGGAAGGGGGTAACCTGTTCCAGGTGCTCTCGCCCTCTCGCTCTTTCCAATAATTTTCCAGCTCTCCTTCTTTCCAGCTTGTTATTGTTGCTTTTGGCTTGTCAACTCGTTAACTACCTTTTTTCGGCGTCGTTCTTGTTATCGCTTCTCCTCTTTCCCCACCTCGTTCTCCTTCTGCTTCTCCGCTTTCCGCTCCCCTTGCTCCACCTCTGGCCGCCCCCCGCTGCTCTTGCTCGATAAACGGGTTTTTCAATGGGGATTGAAACGTCCTAACGAACTATTAAAGCTTTTTTCCAAATTGCACTTAATTCATTTTAAATCTTCAATATTACGATTATGTAGTCTAAATTGCACTTTGTTTTTAAAAAACAACTAATTTACTTCGTAGTTCATTTTTAACATTTTTTTCTCGTTGTTTGTTTACGCGAAAAGTGAGGCCATATATTTACGATGTGGTAAAGTGACCAATATTCGAAATTCCAAATTCTCGCTGATCGATATCAGCGGTGATTTCGATACATTCGTGGTCGTAATACGATTTCGATAATTGAATATCAGATTTGTGTAGAAAATAAACAGCGCCCTCTGGTTGTGTAACTTTTGAGCTACAAGCAACTAATTTACTTCGTAGAAAGCTTTTTCAAGGCGCATTTTTTTGAATACAACTTTTTCTTGTATTGGACTTAAAAAATGGGGGAAAAAAAGTAAGTCCTAGCCAAAAACCAAAGCTTCAAAAGCAGGGCTTTTTGAATTGGCGGCTCTTTTTAAGTAGAAGCGTTTGATTTTGAATGGTACAGTTTCTTTTTGGCTTAGTAATACATTACAGCTAATCAAAAAACATAAAATAAAGGTATTTTTGAAGTAAAAAGAATGCATTTTTAATTGTTTGCTTAGTAGGGGAGCCTTTTTTTTTAATAGGATGTTTTTGGTATAAAATCAAAAGTAAAGTAAAAATAAAGTTAGGAAAGATCCAATAAAGTTAGTTAGAAAATAATGTACGTTCAGCTTCAGTAACTTTAATTTCTGGCAGTTTTATATTTAAAAGGTTAATTAATAACAATTGCCAGAGGAATTCCTATTGCTACCTCTATACTTACCGTTGGCCTTTCGTCCTTTTTGCTTTCTCCCTTCTATTTTGCCGCATGCTCTCTTTCGCACACATACTCAGATCGCAGGCCACGCCCATATATTTCAACCCCCCGAAAGGACACGTAACATGCAACTTTTATGTATGAAACGTGACAAACACGCACATGTGTGCGAAAGAGAGCGGTTGCTTTGGGCCAGAAAGAGACGGCTGCAGGACGTTTATGTATTTTGCAGGACCCTCGTGTGAGTGTGTGTGTGTGCGAATTTGTTGTTGTAAAACGCACACGCGCAGACGTTGAATTACAAACACATATGTGGCAAGGATATACACATATCCTTGCTGGCTTTTTCGCAACTGCCAACTAATTACGAAAGCCAAATGAAAGTTTTCAACTTTACATCAGTTAACTAGCGCTCGCTGCTGGCAAGCAGAGCCAAAAAGGATGCACAAAGGACATGTGATGTCGTTCAAGTACCATATGCCACTCCTCGAACAAAATACTCATAATCCGATTGCCTGCAGTATTTCTCTTTACCTCTTCGCAATTTCCTTCAATTCTTTTTAAAGGGGCATAAACACTTTTACTTTTCTGTCGCAGATTTAGAACATTGCATTTTTATTTCGCGCTTTCTTTTTTTTCGCACTTCTTTTCATTCTCAAATAAAGTTCATTTTCTTACTCTCCGCTTACCCCACATGCCTAAATGTTTGTTTTTTTTTTTTTTACAACATATTCACCGCCTGCAGCGGGAGGTGTAATAAAAGGCCCCAGAGAAGCCGCTGTCGAAAAATGTAAAGCGCATCCATCACAGTTGTGTCCAGGAAAATAGCAGTACTCCGTCCAGGTGTTAGAAGAAAACTTCAAGGATTTTATTTTATATAATTCTGATCCAAAAAAATCATTTATATATCATCTATTTGCTTTTAAAAATGAGTTTATTTGCTTTTCTAGAATGGGAATTTTATTCTTGTTTTTTTTTTAGCTTTTAAAAATGTAACTTTGCAACTTATTAATAGCCAAATAATTTCTTTATTTGGAAAATCATTCAATATATTTAAAAACCAAATATTTAACCAAAACGCATCCTTTGCAATTTACCTAAAATCCTTACTTGTGCTGTGGACAAAGCCAGGCATTTCTTATGCAGTCGCAACTGGTGCAGCCAAGAAGGAAAGCCCAGGAGGGCAGGCGGAAAAGCGGGAAAGGTGGGCCAAAGCCCTGGCCCAGGACCTCAGCCAGAGGAGAAGTCAGTGGAAAAGCCAGCGAAAACGACGAGTACGGGGTGGGGCAGGCGGAAAAGTCGGGGGAAACTAGGAGCGCGTTGATGCACAAAAGCATTTGCTGCGTGTAAACTTGACTTTGAAATTTGCCTCATTTGCACTTGCTGCTGCATTTTGCACCTGCCAAGGATACATAAAAGCCGGATTTTTACATAAAGCCTTCTAACTGTTGCATGCCGTGCGAACTGTTTGCTCGCAATGTTTCCGCAGGATTATTTAATAACTGGTTGAACTGGGCTACCGGTTGAAGGATATATAATATAATCAAAATGGAAATTTCAATCAACTCGTTAATGAATTTCGCCCCGAAAACCGGTCACAGCGAATGGAAAGTATTTATGCATTACAATCTAAAAATATGACAATTGAAAAAATCCACGTATAATATATGCAGGCACGCATATAGAATTCCTTGCAAAGGACTCGAAACAAAAAGGAACGCAATTCGTGTGTGTTTTTGTGCAAAGGTCGTTGCTACCAGGTCGGCATATATATATACATATATGCATATATATAGCACTCGTACACCCGCCGGATATCAAGCGTACATATATTTACACGTGTATATGCTTACACTTTTTGCCTTGCACTTGTCACATCTGTTTTCCCTTTTTTTTCGCGCTTTTCATTCGGCATTCAAGGTGTGGGAAATCAACAGGGGAAATCCCAACTGCATTACTGGATTTCACGGCTTTCTGTCATATAATCGCTTTAAGATTGCACTTTTGATTTTCTCTTTTAATATCGCACACTGAGGATTTCGCTTTTTAACTTGATTAAAGAAACAATTTTATTTTTAGCTGTTTATGCTTCTATTATTACACATTATTTTATATATATTTAATTCTTATCCTTAATTGTCCTCATAATTCCGCAAGTGTTTATTTTGCCTAGCCCCCTTATGTCGACCCATTCGATAGTTGTTGGCATCGATTAATCATTTCCGGCTGACCACTGGGCATTAGTTCATAAATCACGCTCAAATTGTGGAATTTGGGCGCGGCGACAGCTTTGAACCACCGCGATCCTGCGGCTTCAATCAGGATGTGAGTGTGCTTGTGTGTGTGTGTGTGCGTGTCCTGTGCGATTGGGAGGTCGATGGGCACGAACGAAGCGCACGCGTAACCTTTGCACCCAGCCAAAGGTCCCCGGATGGCCACTGGTCACTGGGCAAACAGACATGCGAAATACTCGCACAGTATGTAAACTCGATCGCGGACATCTGGGCAAGTTGTCAACCCGATTTTCCGGCTTAGTTCGTTACAGGGGTTGAGGTGGAAAGCATTTCAGGGGGGTTTGCAAAGTGTTCTTTTTCTTTTTTTAAATTTATAAAGCTTCCTAAAACCAAAACTAAATATCAAATCAGATGGCTGTTCTATAAAGCTTGAAAAATATATTTAATAATTTTATTTTGGTATGTTTTTTTTTATCCCCCTTAAAACCCCTCCCCTCGCAGCCACTGGACTCCTTTCACTCGCTTCTGATACGCATACGTATTCCTCCCCGTTGAAATCCGAGGATTGGACTTTGATGAAATGGTGGACAGGGGTCACTTGCGGTATTAAATATTTTGAAGAGGGTCGCCGCTCGCGCTGCGCAATTTCCAGCTTGATTTATATATATATAGAGTATCTACGAGGGGGTCGAAATCGGGATCGGGTTATGGGACAGCGTTGTTGTCACGCCCAGCGATTTTGACCAAAGGGTTGGGTTGAACCGGAGTCGCAGAAGTCGGAAGACACAGGTCACATTTTTGGTTAATTAATTTGGCTAACGAAATTTGCATTGCTTCGCAGGCTGCTCTCCTCGAAGGACTTCTGTCTTCTGATTATGATTTGCATTTATTACCGTCCTGTTGTTATTTGTTGCTGTTATTCCAGGTGGAGTTCGCCATTCAATAGGAAAATTCACAAAAGGGGGAAAGGGATTTTTTATCGGGTCAGCCAAGCATGCAGTGTACTTCATATTTTCCCCACTCCTTTTCCACCCCAAGGATACACAGCCCCATTTTTGGGGTATCCAATCTGGGACTCCCTTTGATGGCACATCAATCTGGGCATAATGGCCCCAGATAATAGTGTTTGTTTGTGTGCCAAGGTATGCGTATGCAAAATATATAAATATATATATATATTTATCCGCGGAGAATACACAGACGAGTAGCGATGGCAAGGATGTGAGTTATGTGCTCGTGACTGGTTGAAAAGGTGCCAAAGTCGTGGGTTTATCAATATATGCCACATCATCTTTGTCATTTGTGGCAAAGCTTAAATACTGCTGGCTCATAGCCATATTAAATCCTGTGGAAAGTGTGAAAAGTCTTCATTGGAATAGGTACAGAAATAATTAATAACAATCTGTTATGATTAAGGAAAGAATTGGTAACTATTAATTTATTTGGCAATTTAATTCGAGGTAAAATAAAATCTTTTAATGTCTTTGGCATTTTGTAAATATTTTTCCGAACGTGACACGATCCCATCGCCTCGAATATCCAGCGGAGCTATCTTTCTATACGTTTGCTAGCAGGTGCGTGTTTCTGTCTATCAGCGAGCACTTTTCAATTTCCAGGCAACGCGGCGTATGCGCGATGGCAATCTGTTCGCCTCCCTGGGCACTTTTTGCCCAAGAACCCCCCAACAAGAAGAAAGTCCTTTGCTTGGAGACGCAGCTCTTGGCTTTCCTTCTTTTTTTTTGTATATTTTATATTTTATGCATGATTGTTATTGTTTGCAGTTTGCGTGGAATAACGTTTTCCGAGTTGCGAGTTGATCCGAAAGCGGCTCATGTGCCTCCTCGCCAAATCCTTGCTGCTCCTTGAGCTACATACAATTTTTGGCCGCAATTACGCCGGCTATATATCTATGTTTGTGTGTGTGTGTGCTTGTAGATGTGTATGTACACAGAACACAACTGATTGTACGCATCATATTTTACTTTTCATAAATATAAGCGCGCCCATCTCATTTGCATATAGCCAGCGAGGAGCGAACCGATTTTCCCACTCTATAAAACGCATTTTTCCGAGGGCAGGCAACCGAAACCGAAACAGAAACAGAAGCAGCAACAGAAACCGGGGCAGATG